TGTTTTCCTTGGTTCCCTTCCCTTCTGTGTGAACAGTTGGTCCTCATAATCCCCAACCAGCTTGTAGCTGGTCTGTTACTATCACTCCACATGGGCACTCTGTTCTACTCCAGCAGGCACATTGGTTTGGACGTCCCCTTTACAGAGCTGTCAACTCATTTCTCCAGGCTGTAGGTTGGAGTGACAGTTGTTTGGAATTTCGTTTTTCCTTTCTGTTGCTGAAAATGCATCTTTATCACTGCCTGCTATGGGGATTGGGGTGATTCCTCTGCTTTAGCAGAACATTAAAATCAATTTCCAAGAACATCTTAGAGAGGTGACGTTTTAACATCTGCTAATAAAGAATGTCTTCGAACAGAGTGGTCTGGATTAGCCTTGCAAGGGTGAAAATGGCAATGGGCCTGCCTCCAAACTGCTGTACATGTGCGCCCTGCTGGCCTCTGACTTGGAACCCTGCAAACCACCATCTTGAGGATATCAAAGGAAATATTTTCCACTCCTAGACCATGCCAGAACCTAGAGGTCCTGCCACATAAAATAAACTCTCCTCCAAGTGACTGAAAATGCTCTTTTCCCTCCATTGTGGGAAAGCATAAATAAATGGGATGAAGTGAGATGGAGAAACCAGCAGAGGGAGAATTTGATACGTTAAACACACAGGGGGAGCTGCAGTAGTAGCCACAGGGCTGGCCAAAGAACAGAAATCAAAAGAAAAGCACATTTACATTGAGTACACATGGTAGGCATGTTTTGATATATCACCAGGAGGATTTACACAACTTACTGTGTCTTAAAGATACTTGAAAGCACATCCAAGTTCTCTCTACTCTGGTGCCACTGATAAAACATGCAGAGGACACTTTAGAATTCCATGGATATATTTTTGAATACATTCTTCAAGGTTCTATTATGAAAAATATATAACTCAGTACTCCTCTAACAGTAGACCACAGGCAGGTATGGATCTTAAAAGTGTTTGTTCCTGGTCTGCAATAAGCACACAAAGTGAAAGTAAGCACTTGGAAACTTTTTACAGCAATTTTATACTACTACAACAGTTTTTACAAATGTAGCAAAAATACAGTTTTCTATATTTTACAAATGAATTAGTCTGCAATGAATTGAAAAACAACAAAAGACTTTTCACCACATATAGTTTGACAAACGCTGGTAAAATGAACAACTATATTTGCATTGCCTACATTTGATTGTTGTTAACAAACTGGCAGAAATACAGAATCATTCATACAAAAATACTGTAAGAGGAGGACATAAAATTAGGCACCTAAAAAGTTTTGATCTTATTTAACTCTTTAACTGGTTTCTCTTTCTTGTTAATTTAACATTGGCTTAGAAGTATTGTAACCAGAAAGTAATGAATCCATTTTTCATATTTACACTTCCTATTACATGGATATTCCAAAAAGTTTATCTTTGTACTAGGCTTATGATGATACATGGGAAGCAAATATTCTCATTATCATTTCCATGATATTCTTTTCTAACTCAATTCTATGCTTTCTGATTTTTTAAAAACAAGTCAGTTCTTTGAAGACATCCTCCTGGTACTGGAAAGCCTGATTATAATTTATTATATGACAGGAAAAGCTGTAATTTTTCTTAATTTCCCTGCCCATTCTCATATTTTTCTAATGAAAATATTTAAGGTAATTTTAATGTGTTTTTAAAAGCTTTTATAGATATATATGTGTGTGTGTGTGTGTGTGTGTGTGTGTGTGTGTGTGTGTGTGTATAAATAAAGTAATAGTATGGAATTCCATTTGCACATTTAGGAATTTAAAGTCAGATTCCTGAAACAAAGGTAGCATAACTTTTCATTATGGACATTTTCCAATCCATAGGAAGAACTTACAGAGCAACTTTATCTGGCTGTTATTAATGTCAGTCTATGATTCTGGCAGAGAGAGTTAAAAATAAGGAAATGTCACCCACCCACATCATCAAACATACAAAACTGGAAAACTTTATCCATGGCTACTTTGAATCAAATTACCTCAGCAATTTGGACAAAGAGTCAGTTTGTGCCTGGATGAAAATTTTGTTTGAATATAAATTGTTTTCTAGATGTTTTGCTAATGTCTTTTAATGTCTAATTCCCATAGCTTCTCTATTAGGGATTAAGAAGCACTGCAGACGGTGAGTTCAGAGTCATTTGTTTTTTCTGGCCTTGAAAAAAAGGGCCACACACACCCAATTATAGAGCTACTCTTTTTTTTCCCCCTTGTAACTCATCCAAACATTCTATTATGAAGTTGAAACATTTCAGTTACTGTAATTTTTTCCTAAAGGTTCTGGTTCCCACACTGAAATTCTGCCTCCAAAGTCAGATTCAGACTCGAATTCCCAAAATCTGTTCCAAAACACATTGATGGCCTAATCCTTGAGAAAGAGAACTTCAAGCTTTACTTGCCTCCTTTCAGAATGAGTCAAAGTATTTTAAAAAGCAACAAAAATGTGAAATCCCTTGATGAAGTGTTTTTGAAGTGTCCTGGCCATGTCTGTAGGAATAGTCAAATACTATCTAATTCTGTTCACTTTTTAAAGCAGAGAACAACTAAACTTAACACAAATACAGGCAAATGGCTCCTTCCAAAAGGAATCAGTATTACATCCTGGGGTGGTGGTGTGCAGAAAGGAATCAGAGTGGGAGAAACTGAGCAGCTGGGGGTAGGATGGAGGTGACCTGGGGGGCAGGAAGAAGATACCATCTGGAGTAACAGAAATTCTCTAGGAATATGACAATTAGGGGCAACATATATGACTATGAGAATTAGCTACGAACCCTCTCCACCCGTATGGAGAACCGTTACCAACACTCTGGTGAATCAGAGATGTGAAGAAGGACTGAAAACAAAGGAATCCAATACAGATTTCTATATAAAGTGTGAGGCCACAGCCTTGCCCTTCAGGACAGCGTTCTGACACCAACCTTATCAGTCAGGAGGTAGGTCCCTGGGACTGCAGTTTACAGTTCTCCTAACGTTCTGGCACAGGAAATTGGCTTCTCTCTTCCGATGCAGAAGACAGATGAACACAGTGAAGATCTCTGATGGGCAAAGAAACACCCATGCAGTGAAGGGAAAATCCAGTTAGTAATAATAGCAGTTGCTATCAAGTCACTGCTCACTCTGTGCCATATACTGTGCAGAAAGATTTACACACAGCCTCTCTTTACCCTCTCATTCATTCTCAGAAGTTGTTATTATTTCCATTTTACAGAAAATGGGTCCAAGACACAGAGGAATTTTCCCAAGGTCTAAGGACAAGGTCTAAATGCATGTTTGTTAAACTACAAAGTCCAACCTCTTCTCCCCTGGCCAGATTACCTGAAAGTTATCCAAAGGCTGTTTGAGGAGAAAGAAGGAAGCTGACTTACCTGGAGCAGGACTGTAGGGGAATCATGGCCTTGGTGATGACTGGAGTTATCTAACACATTGAACAAACATCAGATTACCAAAATTCGGTTAAATGCACTTTAACATACTTGAATGCACACAATTAGTAAGTACCCAAGCCAGGATAAATTGTGAGCTAATTTAACAATATATTCCAGGATTTGCATAGCCCAGGCAGTGAAGTTCCCTTGGAAACAGTCATTTACAGAGACTCCATTTTATTCCATTGTTGAGTGTCTTATGAAATTAACATTTGGAATTAACTTCCAAGTATTACTGCATTCTTGGGAGTATTCTTGGTGGTAGCAAACTCATATTCTTAAAAGGCAAACTTGATTTCTGACAACTACAAAGTCACTTGGAATCAAATCTAAGAAGTGATAGGTCCCTAACCATTATCATCATAGGGTGTAACTATGAAGCAAGTGGTTCCACTTTTTTGGCCACACTCTTCTTTTCAGAACGTGATTAAACCTGTAGAACCCAGAAAAAGGGATGGGGGATGAATGGAGGGAATATTTTGATGGGTACTCCCAATGGTTTCATTTAAAGTGAGTTTCTAGACTCCTGAGAGTCCCCTTGGAGAGAAACACATGAAGGCCCATGATGAAGGGTAGGGATGTTCCACCCTCCAGTCTCTCCACATCAGCTCTAGCTTTTCTACTTGGAGTATGAGCTCAAGGAGGGCAATGTGATTTTGTTTTTTTTATTCACTGCTGTGTCTAGATAAGGCCCTGGCACTCACTAAATATATATCTGTCATTAATATTTATATTATGAACAGGATGAGTAAAAAAGTGGATAATATTGGGCCATGGGTAAGATTTCAATTATCAAAAGATTTCAATTGTTTCTCTTGTTCTAGAAACAATTTTTAAAAACCACTGGCATAGAAAGTTCAGATGGAGTAAGAACACTGGCAGTGTTATGGAGAGAGAGTGAAATTACTTTTCCTCCTCTCCATCTCCCTTCAAAAAAAAAAAGAAAGTTCAGATGGAGACTTTCCGGGAGTATAATGGGTGGTTGCTAGGGTTTAAGATTTAGCCAAATCTCAGAATTAGAAATATGGTATCAATTCCATCTAAAAATTAGTCTGTCAGAATCTCAAGAGCATAGCACGGTAAGAGCTCAGAGGGACAGAAGGCACAATGGCTAGGCTCTGAAGTGGGAACCTGGGTCAAACAGCCCAGTATGGCTTTGGTATGGAGAGCCTCTGCTGATGGATGAGGTTGTCAAAGTGGTCATACACTTGAGTCTTTATGAAAGAAAGAAGTAATAAGAATAAAACCTGTTCTATAATGTTACTCTTTTTGTATGTATCTGTGGGTGGCCAGAGAAACAATGATTGATTACCGGTCCTAGATTCATTGACTAAAATAAAGTGCTTCAGCATCTGGTTGAAAATGAGGAATGTCATTGCAAAACAAGAGGACAGAGAAAGCATATTCAATTCTATTGCAGAAGTATCTTTCAACTTTGCTGAAAATGGCCCTCCCTCCCCCAACAAAGCTTTTCTTAGAAAACAAAGATAGGCAGAGAATTTATGTGTAAAGAGTTTTTCTTTAAAAAAAGACACATTTCATCTAGCAAGAGCAATACAAAGGGGTTATATAAATTTATTTTTCATGTAACAATTGATTAGGTTAGAAAAAAATTCCCATTTTCAATGTTAATTCCATCTCTCATTTTGTTTTAAAAAAAATCACTAAAAGGACAAAAACCCACACAAAAATACAATCTGTATCTGCTCTATATTTACAGATAACCAGTCACTATTAAGGCATAGATTGATTAAAAGCTAACATTTATTCAAATAATCAAAATATTTTGTGCATCATATAACACCGACAATTCCATATACTGTACTGTCATATTCCCTTCATTGCATCGAGAGAAAGTGAGAAAAATAATTTCCAGTGTTTTTATTTATTTTTATCCACCCTAATCTAGTTTAAGTGGGACAGTTTTCCCTTTGGCATAATATCAAAGCACTGTTCATAAAACCCATGTCAACTTAATACTGCATATTCATTCTATCTCCCTCCTGTTGCAAATACATGGTAGAGAGAGCTGGGAAAAGAGCTCTGAATATTTATTTGGGAAGGCCTTATTAAAGACATAATAAAATTTGGAGCATTGAGTTGCTGAACTGGAAACAACTCTAGAATTGTTAACCTGCGCTGAATGTTTAGCGTGATGCATCGATACAATCAAATAAGGCAGACGACCATCACGGAATTCACGAGACCATCTGTATACAAATGCACAGGATGATTCCACTGTACTTGAAAAGGGAATGATTTAATTCTACATCCTTAAGCAGATAAGGCTTAGTTTAGTTTAGGAAGGGCAGCTCCTTAGTGCCACTCACAACTGATAATTTTGTGACAGGCCCATTATTTATGCCTTCAAGGTAACCAATACTATTTTTTAAAGTGAAGATTTTTCTGAGTGCAAAATGTCTCTTTAATTCTGGATCTTACCTTAACAGTAAGACTTAGCTGTGGAAAAAACGTCAGGCAAGTATTTCTTATCCCACGTTTGTATAAAAGTACCCAACTGTTATGTATGCTTGTCTAATGCTTTTTGCTTGAGAGAGCATGAAAATGGTTTATGTCCATGCAGAAAATCTTGAATACTGAACATAAATAAGTAGTTACAGTACAGGTAATTGGGAACATTCCTATGGGAAAGTTTTCTAACAAATTAATATACTTGGAAATAATATTGCTTTGACGAAAGGAAGGCACTTTAGTGATTTTCTTGATGGATTAAAAAATCCTTCACAAATCCACAATAAGATGCCTGAAAAGACCCAGGAAACAATGTTGCCTGATTTCTTGGACTTTCACAGTATAATATTGTAATAATGGATCTAGCCACTTAAAAATAGTCTTTTTTTCACTTCAGAACTCAGCTATCTTTATAAACTGTCACCCTGGAGACTCAAATAAGCCTTTCTCTTCTCAACAAACACAAGTCTACTTCAAGTAGACAGATACGGTTTTCGGAAAGTCCTGGGACCATACAGAGCTTAGCTAGTGCGTACATGATAAAGATCGTAATCTATGTCTTCTCATAATGGCAACAGTGCTGTCTTGTCAGATGATTATTTGTCTTTTTAAATAAAGTGACAATCTAGGGCTCCAGTTATTGAATGTCGTCCATTCTCTACCATAAATCTCTAGTAAATATCAATTTCATCAATTATGTACTGTATGCTTATAATATCTAAAAATAAAAGTTTGATATAAATAAATGTCCTTTAGTGGCAATATACTAAAAACAGCCCTTTGCCTCCAGACAACCATTAAAATCATTTTAGCAATACAGGCAGCAGCTAAGTATGACGACTGCAAAGGGTTAATATTGCAAAGTCCATTTGGTCTTTCTCTGCACCTATTACCATGAACTAGGTTCATTGCTAAGTGTTTCTAGGATGCTGACATACATGAACAGAATTGGTCCAGAACCAAGTAGACTCACTTATGTTTCCCAAAGTCACAGAATATTCTGCACAGAACTAACATCCAGTACCATTTCAAATAAAAATTTGATGTAGTCAGAAAAATGTGACTAACTCTCATCTGTACCAATGTATCAGGTGACATAAAAATGAGAGAGAGAGAGATGGAAAGAGCAAGAATTTCCACAGGACAAGAAATTAGAATGTGTAAAGTGCTGAAAGACCTCAATAATTATTTTGAAGCAGTACCAGAAAATTCCACTTGATTATTTTTTTAAAAATCCCCAAATACCAAAACAAAACAAGCAAACAAAATAACTTCTAAGTTTTCTGGCATCCCAGATGTCAATTCATCCTTCATTTTAAGTAACAAAAAAAAAAAAAATCAGTGCATATGTTATATAGGCAAATAAAAACAGGAAATAAGCCCTATCTTCATATTGCAAATTCTGTCCAACTGTCATTTTAGAAAAGAAATCCATATTTAGTGTTCTGACATCACAAGAACATCATCTCTCTTTTCTTCCTCTTTGCCTTAAAGTACAGGTGTGAATAAGATGCTTTGGTCCTGATACCAGACACCCAGAGTGCTGAGGATGCTGTGCAGCGACGGCTGTTCACAGATCTCCTGTGTTCACCTTTGCAGTCAGTTGGTGGGCGTGTCCCTAGAGGGCACTGCTACCAGCGGCCACTGACACTGGCAATGTCTGAGTGATACTGACGGGGTAGCCTTCCACTCGCTCCGCCTTCCAGGAAAGAGGTGCGTGCATTTGGCGATTCAAAAAGCTTTCTTCGGTTTTTATTTAGTTCTAGAGAGAGAGAAAGAGGGAGAGAGAGAATTGTTAAGAGCTCAACAGAGAAGTTCTATATATACTATAGGACATGGCTTGGAAAATGGTGGCATGGTAGGTTTCTTTGGGCAAAGTCAAGTCTGGTAGCAAAAGGAAAACATTTAGTTGATGGCCAAGATTATTTCTGAAATACTAGAAAGTATGATTTGAAAGGTAGCATACTGGTAGCCTAGAGAACCACAGACATCAAATAGTTTTTATTGCCATTTTTTGTAAACTCTGGAGAAGCAAATAAATTTTTATTACAGTTTTAAACTATCTGGGGGATATAGCTTTCTCAGAAATCTCTAACTCAATTAAAACAGTTTGACCTCCCCCAAACATCATTTCAGAGGCAAAAGGAACAAAGCTGGTGAAAGGCATATGAGAGGATGTATTACCAATGGCACAGAAAATTATAGCTATTGAACTCATCCATGTCAAATACAGCAATCACCGAGTTATTAAAGTCAGATATGAAAGACGACCCCACGCCTAAACATGAGGACATTGAAGGAGCGTCGTGAAATACGGTTGACCCTTGAACAACACAGGGATCAGGATGCCATCTGCCTCCCTGTGCAGTCAAAAATCCATGTATAACTTTTGACTCCCCTCAAACTTAACTACTAACAGCCTACCCTTGACTGGAAGGCTTACAGATAACATCAACAGTTGAATAAACAAATACATTAAATACTGCATGTTTATAATAAAGTAAGCTAGAGAAAATATTAAAATCATAAGAGCAAATATATTTACTACTCATTAAGTGGAAGTGGATCATAAAGGTCTTCATCTTTGTTGTCTTCATGTTGAGTAGGTCGAGGAAGAGGAAGGGTTAGACTTGCTGTCTCAGGGGTGGCAGAGGCAGAAGAGGAGGAGGTGGTAGAAGCAGAGGCAGGTACGTTTGGTGTAACTTTACAGAAGTACATTAGAATGTCTTTTTTGCCTTCCCATTAAAAATGTCTTTTTCTTTATCATGACAATCCTTATTCCACCATCTGCTTTAGTTTCAGTGCTCATATCATAGAAGGGTCCATGTCATAAAAGAAGCCGTAAGCAATCATGAATAACCAGAACCCTCTGTCAGACTGTCTAATGTCAGTCTGCTTTCTGGCACTGCTTCTGCTACATCTTCTTCCTCATCCTCATCCTCTGGCACTGCTTCATCTCCATCACTTCATCTTCTGTTTCTTCCTCTGGTGTGGTGTCTATTAGCTCTTGAATTTCTACAAAATCCTTATCTGGAAATCCTTCACCCCCTTTCATTTTTTGCCATATCCACAATCTCTTTCATGATTTCCTTAATTGTCTTTGTCATAAATCCTGTGAAGTCATGTACAACATCTGGACATAGTTTTCTCCAGCAGGAATTTATTGCTTGGGGGCTTGATGGCTTTTTACAGATTTTTCTATAACAACGATGGCATCTTCTCTGATATAATCCTTCCAGACTTTCATGATGCTCTCTTTAATAGGATTCTCTTCTTTAACAATGTCAATCCTTTCCACAGAGTACCATGTTGTGATGATTCTTAAAGGTCCTTCTGACACCCTGACCTAGAGGCCGAATTACAGACTTCGTACGTGGGGACAAGTAGACTACTTTGACACCTTGGTGGCAAACTCGTGGGGTTTTGGGTGGCCAGGGGCATTGTCCAATATCAAAAGAACTTTAAAGGGAAGTCCCTTCCTGGTGAGGTACTTCTGACTTCAGAAACAAAATCATCAATGGGACTAATGCAGAAAAGGCTTCTTGTCATCAGGCTTTCTTGTCCATGTAAAGACTAGCAGCTGGTGTTTATCTTTTCCTTTCAAGACTTGAGGGTGAGCAGATGTGTAGATAAGGGGAGTCCTGATCATAAACCTGACTGCATTTGCACTCAACACTAGAGTTAGCCTATCCCTTCCTGCCTTAAACCCTGGTGCTCACCTCTCTTCCTAACAAATGTCGATTGTGGCACTTTTTTCCACAATAGGGTACTTTTGTCTGCATTAAAAACCTGTTGAGGCAGATGTCCTTTCTCCTCAATGATTTTTTTAATAGCTCTGAGACCTTGTCTGCTGCCTCTTGGTTGGCAGAAGCTGCTTCTCGTATTATCTTTACATTTTTAAGGCCAAACCTCTTTCTAAAATTATCAAACCGTCCTTTGCTGGCATTAAGTTCTCCAGCTTAAATCATTTACATTCCTTCTTTAAATTGCCATATAATGGCTTCACTTTTTCTTGAATCATATTAGAGTCAATAGGTATGCCTTTCTTAAAAAAAATCCTGTACTCACATAAAAGCTGAATTTTCAATACGGGAGAGAAGGGTATTTTGCAAAACACGTAAGGGTTTTGCACCTGCTGGAGCAGCTGCAACCATGACTTCACGATTTTTTTTTTTTTTTTTACAATAGTTCTTATGCTGGATTCACTTATCTTGAAATGGCAGGCAACCACAGCTGCAGACCTCAATCTATGAGACATATCAAACAATTCAGCTTTTTCTTATAATGTTATCACTTTGCTCTATTTCTCAGGAGCACTTACAACATCACTAGTGGTACTTCGTACAGGCCCTATGGTATTATTCAAGGTTTATGATGTTGCACTAAACACCATGAAAAATAAGCAAGAACAGTGAGAGATTACTTTTTATTGTGATCTGAAATTTTCTGGAGAGATGAACTTCTCACATGGAGATGATTAGCATCACACAGTGTTTCTAGAAGATGCTCTCAACACTTGAGCTCACTGACGTAGCAACTGGAGATAGCTACAAAATTATTATAGCATAGTATGTGTATGTACTACAGTTAATTTATGCAGTTATGATTTAATACTGCATCTTTTGTTTACATTTCTCTTAACTAAGAATGGCACCATGTATGCCATTCTGTGTTTCTGTAAGTCTTGATACATGTTAACATTTTACAATAGATTGGCGTATTTTATGAAAGCAAATGATAAAATAGACTAGTATTTACATATATTTTATTCATTCCTGACATGCCTTACTTTTTCTTAATTTTTTTCATATTTCAGCACAGTTCAAATCCATGTTGTTCAAGGGTCAACTGTATTAAGCCACAGCCCCATGGCTCTGCCAACTCATGAAGCCTATGCTTCTTGAGTCAGAAATAGTTACATAAAGAAGCATCAACAGGTTTCTCTGAACAAAAAAAGATCAACTCAGTAAAAAAAAACAATAACAGCTTAGAAAATTAATACTTGAAAATAATATTTGAAAATAAATCAACTAATATTTGAATCCAAATTTTCAGGGAAAAATTGAGGTTCCCTATTTGAATTTTAAAGAAAGCAGAGTACTTAGAAAACACCTTAGTATATCTTTGCCAACTAAAAGTTATTAGCCTGAAAGGTAAAAAGTTAATTGAAGCAGACAATCTTACATGTAAGGCCCCACCCTTACCATCCTCCACCCCAACCCCTTACTGAGTCACTGATGTAACTGTTCCTGATAAACTCATACAAGTACACAGAATTGTCAGATAATGGAAAGTAAGGTTTCTGGTAGCCATCAAATGAAAATATGCTCATATTTATTCAACTTAAAATAGATTAGAGGGCTATATAGTTGATTTGCTTAAAGCTGCTGTCTTTTTTTTTTTTCTTGGAGCAACTAGAGCAGGCAATTGAACACCTTATATTTGCATGGTACTTGTATTTTTCAACCACATATATACAATCACCTTTAGAATTCGGAAGTTACAATGTAAGCTATGGCCAGCTACTGCAATGCTCAGGATGGGATCACAGACTCAGATTGTAGGGGGCTCACTCAGGGTTAAGGACAGCCTACGGCCATATGTGCTCCTGTCCCCAAGTTCTGGAAGACGGACCCTTAACATTTCAACTGCCTTCCAAAATGTAAACGCCTGCCCTATAGAGTCAAAGCAACAATGGAGATCTTTCTCTCTCTCTCTTTTGTTCACACATATAGGTCTTAGGAAAGAAGAAAAATAACAGTGATTCATTAGGGCTTATTATACGACAAGCACTTTACATTTATTTCGTCCTATTCAAGTCCTCCTTAAGGGGCAGACAGTATTACCATTCCCCATCACATAGATAAGAAAACAGATTTTAAAAACAGATGAAGTCGCCTGCCCACACAGTTATTAAGTGACAAAGCTGAAACTGCCTGCCTAATGCATAGGTCAGTGCCTTGTCACTGAGCTGCAGTGATTCGTCGGACAAAGAAGACTGACCAAAGCTCAGGAGTATGATCTGGTAGTTCTAGCTATGTTGGATAACAGAGCTTTACTTCATATTTTAGCAAACCAAATGTATTTTTTAAATTAGAAAAACATAGCTTAAAAACTCTGAAGAAGCAAGGAAGATATCTTTACAGGAAAGAGACACATGCAAGCATGCATGCAGATGGCTATTGTTCCAAGTCCCTGGAGAAACCCAGTAGCAATGACATTCCTATTAAAAACTGAACACATGTATCTTGTTAAAAAACAAACACAGCACTTCAAAATTCATAAATCAAGACAGAACTGAATATACTTAAAGGCAAACTTATAGGAATGTTAAGAATACATGAATCCCTTTAAGTATACAGCCTGGGAAAGTTTTATCACCTTCCAGCTAGGAGACTATTTCTGGCCTCCATGTTCTCATGGGAGACTAATCTACAAATCAGGAGGAAGTTCCCAAGGAAAAGGAAAGAACGAGGCCAAACAACATTCTCCCCCAGCACAGGTAACTTGTATAACTGAGCACATGACAACGGTAGGGCCATGGAAGATTAAAAAAAAATTAATAAACATTGAAAACTTTATTCTAAAAAGTCACATCAGCTAGAGATTTCAAAGAGTAAAATGATCACAAAGGAATTCAGTCATTCCCTGCAGATGCAGTTTCTATGAGAGAACATACATACATTTCTACATGTGATGCACAGAGATAAATCTTCCAGAGAGGTTATCTATGATCAAGTCCTACTGAAGAGACTAGGATTTTTATTGTTGTTGTTGCTGTTGTTTTTTAAATTAAAAAGCAAACGCCTTCCCTCTGATATTTTTCAGTAAGCCTAAGGAATAGTTTGGGAAAATACCAACCTTTTTCTTTGCAATTCCAACGTTCACACAATCCTGGCAGCTCTCAGGATCTTGTTGCGGATCTGAACAGAGTCACAAACTAAAAGAATAGGTCGGGAAATGTTAGATCTACCTGAGCCGTGGCAGGAAGCCTGACAACAGGATGCTAAACTTCCTTTCACTGAGTCCCTGTACATTTAACCAATCATTAAAATACTCTGACAGAAATCCATCAATTTTCGAAATATCATGGATTTCAAAAAAAGATTAAACTTATTCTTTGATCCATCTCCATTAGAGATAAATCTCAGTTACTCCTGTAACATTAAAATAAATGTCTTTTGGCCCAAGATTAAAAACAAAAACAAAACCTCATAGTGAAAGCACAACTCTGATTATAAGTTTAATATCTACAAAATTTTAAAAAGGAATTTTGAGCAAACTCTGTATCTAACCAAGCTACATAACCACAAGACAAACATGACTCAAGGCTGCCCAGAAGCTATTCTGCTATCTATCAGAAAACAGAATGTTCTGGGACTATAAATGGATGTGTTTGTTATCAGATGAGTTGGAAAAAGAAGTTTTTTGATGAAGGATTTCTCAATAAAAACTTATTACTTGCAGAGAAAACAGTTTACCGGGTTCAAACAAATGCACTCAACAAGGTAAAGTAAAATTATCCTTAAAATAATCAAATATTCCACACTGTGCAGAGCAGTCCAAAGGCATCCTATTCAAAGTCTCTAACTCCCTTTAAAAGCAAGAGGTCCCATGAATCCACTGAGAGAAGTGTGCAGAAGTACTATATAACTTCAATGGAACCACACTGAAGATGATGGTTAGAAAAACATTTTTTTAAAAAATAGGATTCAAAACACTTTCTGATTACTACCCTACTCCCCAAAATCCAGAGTAAAGGACACTGATGTTTTCCAGAGTAAGGAACTGATGAGCCATCTGCAACTTGTGAATGTCATTAGAGATATCTGCTTTTCGCTAAAAGCTTTATAGAGTTTGGTACTGGGTTGGTACACAAAGAAAGAACTTAGTTTTCATTATATTACCACTGCCATCCCATGAATCTCTAGCGAAAGATTATGAAATTCCAGATTGTACTACCTTCTCTGGCATAAAAGTGCTGGCCCACAGGCATATTTCAACAGTACAGGTGTGGTGGATATGCAAATTAATCAAATTTCAAGTAGTATATCAATTTCATTTGAAAATTAATAAAATAATGTGAAATACATAAAGTTAACTTGAATCTACAAATAGCCCTGAGGCTGAGCTTTAGAATAAACAAATGAGTTGGAAAAACTACCCTGTTGCACAAATGGTAAAAAAAAAAGAATAAGAGAGTATCCTGCTAGTAGTATATACTGTTAAAGCTGTAATTTGTCTATTTTCACTAAACCTGATGATGTATCACATGAAAGAACAGATCTCAGAAGCATAAAGTGACCTTACACAATCATCTTTCCAATCTACCTTCATGATTAATAAACCCAAAATCAAAAGAGGTTTGGAAACTCATCCAAGGACTCGCGATTTAGCAGAGGCGAAGCCCAGGTCTCCTATTTGAATTCAGTGTTCCTGACACTATACAAAGACAATCTTATGAGCAAACAGGAATTAAGCACCTGCCCTGTGGAGCTCCATTAATGTAGCCTCTTGGACACACAGAGTGGAGGAGGGCTCCTAAAACTCATGTGTGTAGAACTCTATTGATCCGTGAAAGAACCTATCAGGCTGCCACCAGGAAGCTAAATGGCTGGATTTCTATTCCTATTTCAAAGCTGCTTTAAAAAAATATAAAGATTTCCTATGGGGAGGCAGGTGAAGTTTGCAATATGCTGCTAAAATAAAATGGAAAACAATTGAGGTTTTTTACTTTTTTCTGCTGATATGATTAGTGGCTGCTGTCTGGAATGGACCTTCACCAGTTGGATGCAACTGCTGGCCTCACTGAGGCATAGCCTGCAAATTCAGCGTTCTGAAAAAGCAAAATCACTTTCTCAGAGCACATGACACTTGGCTTCTGCCCTTGGTGTCTGTCTTTTTGAGAGCCTGGCACACATATAAAGTTGACATTCAAGAACTTTATTATAAAATCTTCCAAAATGAATCCCATTCCCCTCAAATTTCTTCCACACAGTTCTCTAAACACTTTTTTTGAAGTGCATTACTACGTATTCGCCAACTCCTGACTCATCAGCTGGCTCGATTCCTTTCGAATGAATGGCACCCAATAAATATGTACAGAGCGTTTTCTAAAACAGAGTATGCAACAGATGCACAAAGAAAGCAGTCTAAAGAGGCAGACAACATCATTTTCCTTGATTCTGTGACCACCCTCAGGATACTATTAATATGTCCTTCTGTGACACACACATTCTTTAATAATGTTGGAAAAAATTAAAAAGAATTAAGACAAGTAATACTGCCAGATTCCAAGCAATACCAATGAGCATTCTTTTTTCCTCAGTGCAATAATCTGTTGGTGAGCAAGGGGACACACATTTGAAACATGACTTTTAATCAAGACTTATTATTCACTGACCTGATGATTATTGCTTAACACAACGGCAAAGAAGAGAATTAAAGAGAATTAAACTGTCCCGTCTCCCTCTTGGGGTTCTGCATAGGGCAATTTTGGTTAGATCCTTCTGAAGGAATCTACACATATTTCCAGGAACAACACTGTCAAGGCAGGTTTTCAGGCAATGCCTCGACGAAGGAGTAGAATATTCTCAGCATGTGTTATACTGATGGCAGAAAAATCCTCTGAAACCACATCCACCAAGGTGTCAGGGTAGTAAGCCAGCAGCCGATGGGCAGAACCAGTCCTACTGGCTGAGACCACTGGCAGAAGTTAGTCGGATTTTAAAATATGAGTTGAATATTCATATTCACCTGAGATTGCAAGCAGCATTTTCCTCCTCGCACCAAAAGTCGTAATTCCCAGCTCCTTCAGATCCTGATCGGTGAGAGTAAGGAATGTCTGAAGATCGATCTGTGGGTAAAAAAAACCCCAATTATAACCAATATATTAAGTACTCATTTTCTTTCTCATCACAGGATCAACTTGTTATTCCACCTATTTTATTTATTAGTTATGCACTACCTACTTCCCAAACAGAATGATGGTGGGACAACAGCAGAGAAATAAAAGTGGTAAAACAGAAGAGGTGATTCTAACAAAGCCTTAGCTCTGAGCGTCTTGGCAGCTATGGCAAAAAAAGGAAACAGAAAGACTGCACCCTTTTTGTGAACTGATAAAACGAAGAATACACATCTGTTCAGGAAAGAGAAAAATATTTCTTAGGTTTGGATTCTGAATTGGTTAAGTATATCTTTATCTTTATAAGAAGAAACTAGATATTAACAATATAACAGATGGCATCTTCCTCTGTGTTCTGCGTCAGAGTGTCAGACAAATTCCCAGACTCCATCAGATCTATGGTTCACTTGGCTCAACCCAGCAGACTATCTCTGAAGGAGGAGGCACAAAAGCAGTGTTTGTAGGAACAGTAAAATTGTACTCTCTGGCATTGGCAACAAAGCATAAAGGGAAATTGTCTAATGATTTCACTCTTTTCTTAAAAATGGTGTAGAAGAATAGAAAGGCAACAGACTCTGAAACCAAAGAGACTTGAGTTCAGATCTTAACTCTTCCCTTATTAGCTGTGGGCACTGAGGGTTGACAATACTATACTTTGCAGGGGTCTCTTGTGAGCATTCAATATGACTGTGGAAGCAGAGCAATGGGCTCACCAAAGGGGTGAAATAATTGGCAGTTACAGTTAGTAATAATGCATATTGATATATCGTCTGTGAATGATGCTAAACCAATCTTCAACATGCTTACAATAAAATCTCATGAAGTTACTTAGTGGGGGATTCTTGTTAAATCCTATCTGAATATTTTTAAATATCCTACATGAAGGAAGCAGATTACCACATTTCAACACACCATAAAAAAGTAAAATATACTTTTCATTAAATGATATTGAACAATGTTCTGTTTTGATTGAAGGTATATCCAGATCTTACAAAACCTTAATTTAAGACCATCATTCTAAAGATAGACAGTTCTAAAGATAGTTTTTAGAAATTCTATTTAATAGAGATTCTCTAGTTCAAGTGTCCTCAAACTTTCTCTTAAAGGGACACATAGTAAACATTTTAGGTCTTGTAAGGCCATACTGTCACTGTTACAACTACTCAATTCTGCTTCTATGGCTCAAAAGCAGCCATCGACAATATGTGGATAAATTAGGGTGGCTATGTTCCAATACAACTTTATCTACAAAATCAGACAGAGGGCCTGCAGATCACAGTTTGCTGACCCCTGCCACTATTTAATATTAGATAAAGCGACTCTGGCTTTATACTTATGTTTTCTTCTTTCTTGTAGTAATTGCATAAGAAGTACCTATAATAAATTTATTTCTATGCTTCTTCAAATAGGAAATAAACAAAGATGAAAGTAAACCCAAAATACCATTGAATAACATTCAGACTCTTACTCTAAGACCTTCTGTGTCTGGACAAGTTAAAATACTTATACCTTTAGCTTCCCAATTAGCTATCCTCCTCTAACAAGAAAATATAGATACAATTCTTTAATACACTGATTATGAAAGGGTTATTCAATTTAGAAAATCCTTGATTAAATGAACACTAACTTAGATTTAGAAGAAATAGAACAAAATCAATACCCTAAAACCTAATACACATGACAATCTCTTTTTCAGTGTAAAAAAAAATTTATTGAGCCATGGGCAATACATTGAATTTATGATAAAAAGTACCTAATAAAAACCTTAGATTTCTTATTGACTGATATATTCCTAGGAATTACTGACTAAATCAGATGTTCTCTAACACGGCAGTCTCCGACACGTGGACTATGGACAGACTGTTACTGGTCCGCGGCCTGTTAGGTACCGGGCCACAGAGCAGGAAGTGAGCAGTGGGCGAGCTAGAGGAGCTTCATCTGTATTTACAACAACTCTCCATCAATCAGATCACCACCTGAGCTCCGCCTCCTGTCAGATCAGTGGTGGCATGAGATTCTCACAGGAGCGCAAGCCCTACTGTATACTGAGCATGCAAGGTATCTAGGTTGTGCATTCCTGATGAGAACCTAATGCCTGATGATCTGAAGTGGAGCCGAGGTGGTGGTGCTAGCGCTGGGGAGCAGATGCAAATGTAATAAATGTAATGAGATTGAATCATCCCGAAACCATCCTCCCTCCTGCCCCTGTCCGTGGAAAAAACTGTCTTCCATGACACTGGTCCCTGGTGCCAAATAGGTTGGGGACCATTGCTCTAACATGAAATTAAGCCAACTAGCATCCAACTTGTGAACCATGTCTTGATGTGAAAAAGAGAGAAATTTATAGAACTATTTTAATTTTCTGTTGCATTGAGTTAACTGTGCCCTGGTAACATGACAGCATTATCAGAAAGAGTCATGCTCAGGGGCTCTTTTCTTTATGCCAGTGCTTAGTAGGCTATGGCTAATCGGTTTGACCAAAATCCATGGTAGTGATGGTTCAGAAGACATCTTAGTTCTATCTCAGTTCAGGTAAAATCCAAGCAGTAAGTTGATGAATAAATGAACATGTTAAAAAATATATTCTGTAATAAATTACAGATTTCTAGGATTGGGTCAAAAACAGCCACAGATACTTATTTAGGATGCTGTTACTTACTTTTAAATACCGCAAATAGAGACAATAGATTCAAAAATGAAATCATGTTAAAAGCAGACTTGTTGATGACCTCAGGTGAGCTGTGAATCCAAAAGTTCTTGTGAGTCAATACACCAATTGGGTCTTTTTAGCTCCAACTTTTGAAGGATGGCTATAGCATATTTTTGCAAGCACCATTTTCTCTATTTCTGCTATCCTGTGTTTTCTAGCTGCACTAAATAAATAAGAAATGAGATGACATTTTTCTCAGCAGCAAGAACAAGCTATGAGACTTGAATAAATGCTCAGTGAAAGCACAGTCATAGGTCAATGAGTGATTTCATGCTAGAAGTCATCATACACACAACCAAAACAAAGAAACCCAGGAAAATAAATAAAGACTGACCTCTTGTTGCTGGAAGACATCTGTGTATTTGCCCAGGCCCAGTTTGCTGAAGAGCTCAGGGAGGTCAGAGCCTTTGAAAGAGCTGTTTAGGTTACAGCCATTGCTTCCTGTCAGTGAGGAAATGCAGTCCATGTAATTGCTACTGCTGAGATAGTGTTCCACTGAAAGGCAAAGGAGAGACAGGCTTGAAGTGTAAATGCCCAGAGACAGCACAGTGTAATTGAAAGTTTTAATCACCCAAATATTTCAGATTTCATTGTTCAGCTGAATAGAGCAGTAGCTGCAGAAATACAGCAATCCTTTACCGAAATATTGGCTTTTCATTAAAGAAATGCTGGTTATTGCTTTCAGGGAGGCTCTTGCCATTTAAAAGGTTACACTTGGGAGGCAGAGATTCAGCAACAGTGCCTCTGTAGTTAATAATCATTCATCATATTCTCCCTGAGCATTCAGAAGCATTTGCTGTTTATAATTGATTTGATGTGAATTACATGAGGAACAGAAAGAAAGATCCCTGGGACAAAATAAAGGTGTGGAAAGTTATTACAAGTGCAGGCTCCTTTTGGATGGCAGGATGGCTCTCTCTATCCACATTGGTATTTTCTGGAGGTCAAATGAATTGTGCGATATTGCAACATATAAATCTTGTTATCTAGGAAAATATAATCGGGCAGCAAATTTACAAAATAAAACCTTCTGCTGTGGGAATACTGGGTTAAGAAGGAAATTAAGATGGAAATCAAAAGATTCTTTGAACTAAATAAGAAAGGAGAAACAAGTTACCAAAATCTGTGGGACACAGCTAAAGCAGTCCTGAGAAGAAAACTTAAATCCATAAATGCCCACATCCAAAGGACAGAAAGATCACAAATCAACATCTAATGAATCATCTCAAAGAACTGGAAAAGGATGAGCAAATTAATCCCAAACCCCTCAGAAGAAAAGAAATAAACCAAGATCAGAGCAGAAATAAATGAAATTGATAACAAAAACTATACAGAAGATTAATAAGTTGGTTCTTTGAGAAAATAAACAAAATTGACATGCTTCTTGCTACATTAATGAAAAGCAGAAAAGAAAGGACTCTAATAAGCTCAATCAGGAATGAAAAAGGAGAAATTACAACTGATACCATGGAAATACAAAACATCATCTATGAATACTACAAAATCCTCTATGCACTTGAAAACGTGGAAGAAATGGACAAATTCTTAGAAATACACAGCCTCTGTAGGCTCATCAGGAAGAAACAGAACTCCTGAACAGACCAATATCAAGTACTGAAATTGAAACAGCAATAAAAAACCTTCCTAAAAAGAGAAGTCCCAGACCAGATGGTTTCACATCCAAATTTTACCAGACCTACAAAGAAGAAATGGTGCCTATCCTGCAGAAATTATTCTGCAACATTGAGAAGGAAAGAATCCTCCCCAACACATTTTATGAAGCCAACATCAACCTGATACCAAAACCAGGAAAGGCTGGAACAAGAAAACTACAGACCAATATACCTTATGAATATGGACGCAAAAATTCTCAACAAAATCCTAGCAAACTGAATTCAGGTACTTATCAAAAAAAGTAATCCATCTTGTGGATGAAGCCAAGTAGGCTTCATCCCGGAGATGCACGAATGGTTCAACATATGCAAATTTATAAATGGGATTCACCACATAAATAGAAGCAAAAACAAAGACCATATGATCCTCTCAATAGACTCAGAAAAAGTATCAGACAAAATTCAGCACCCTTTTATGGTAAGAACGCTTAAAAAAAAATAGGCATCGGCATAGATGGGACTTACTTAAAAGTGATACAAGCCATATATGACAAACCCACAGCCAACGTCAAACTGAACGGGGGAAAAACTGAAAGCATTCCTGCCTAGAAATGGAACCAGACAAGGTTGCCCTTAATCACCACTTCTATTTAACATAGTGCTGGAAGTCTTAGCCAGAGCAATCAGATAAGAAAAGGAAATCAAGGGCATCCAAATGGGGGCAGAAGACGTCAACCTATCACTCTTTGCTGATGATATAATCTTATATCTAGAAAACTCCAAAGATTCTGTCATGAGACTACTAGAACTGATAAACAAATTCAGCGAAGTCTCAAGTTACAAAATCCAATGTACAGAAATCAGTAGCATTCCTATAGGCCAACAGCAGTCAAACTGAGAAGCAAATCAAAGACTCAATACCCTTTACAATAGCATCAAGGAAAATAAAAGACCTAGGAATATATTTAACTAAGGAGGTAAAAGACCTCTCTACAGGGAGAACTATTAAACACTGAGGAAGGAAATAGCTGAGGAAGTAAATGGTTGGAAAACTATATCATGCCCCTGGGTTGGCAGAATCAACATTGTTAAAATATCTATACCACCCAAAGTGATCTGCTGATTCAATGCGATCCCTATTAAAATACCAACATCATTTTTCACAGCTCTAGAAAAAATAATTCTATACTTCATATGGAATCACAGAGGACCCTCTATACCAAAAGCAAAAAGAACAAATTGGGAGGCATCAATTTGCCAGACTTCAAGCTATACTACAAGGCTACATAACTAAATCAACATGGTATTGGCACAAGAACAGAGACATAGACCAGTGGAACAGAAAACTGGAACGCAGATATAAAACCTTCCTCATATAGCCATCTAAACTTTGACAAAGCAGACAAAAACATATACTAGGGAAAGGAATCCTCTTCAATAAATGGTGCTGGGAAAACTGGACAGCCACACTGAGAAGACTGAAACAGGATCTGCACCTTTCACCTCTCACAAAAATCAACTCAAGGTAGATAATAGATTTAAACCTAAGGCATGAAACTATAAGAATTCTAGAATGAAATGGTGGAAAAACTCCTATAGACATTGGCCTAGGCAAAGAATTTATGAAGAAGACCCCACAGGTAATCATAGCAACAACAACAACAAAAAATAAATGGGACCTGATCATATTAAAAAGCTTCTGCACAGCCAAGGAAACGATCATGAGAGCAAACAGACAACCTACAGAATGGAAGAAAATATTTGCATGCTGCACATTCAATAAAGGGCTGATAACTAGAATCTACATAGAACTAAGGAAAATCACCAAGAGAAAATCAAAGAACCCCATAAAAAGTGGGCAAGGAACATGAACAGAAAGTTTTCAAAAGAAGACAGACTAATAGCCAACAAACATGAAAAAATGCTCAACATCTCTAATTATCAGGGAAATGCAAATCAAAACCACAATGTAATATCACTTATCTCCAGTGAGAATGGCTTTTATCAAAAAGTCCCAATACAATAAATGTTGGCATGGATGCAGAGAGATAGGAACACTTATACACTGCTTGAGAGACTGAAAACTAGTATAACCTCTGTGGAAAGCAATATGGAGATACCTCAAAGAGCTAAAAGTAGACATACCATTTGATCCAGCAATCCTACTTCTGGGCATCCACTCAAAGGGAAAAAAAGATATTCTATAAAAAAGACATCTGCACTAGAATGTTCACAGCAGCACAATTCACAATCGCAAAGATGTGGAAACCACCCAAGCGCCAATCAATACATGAGGGGACTAATAAAATGTGGTACATGTATACCATGGAGTCCTACTCAGCCATGAAAAACAATCGTGATCTAGTGCCACTTGTATTATCCTGGATAGAGCTGGTGTCCATTCTAGTAAGCATCACAAGAATGGAAAAATAAGCACCACATGCACTCACCATCAAATTGGTATTAACTGATCAACACTTATGCACACATTTATTAGTAACATTCATCAGGTGTTGGGCACGTGGGGGTGGAGGGGATGGGTATATTCACACATAACGGGTGCAGTACACATGGTCTGGGAGATGTACAGGCTGGAAACTCGGACTCGGGTGGGGAAAGGCAATATATGTAACCTAAACATTTGTCATTTGTTTCCCCATAATATGCTGAAATTTAAAAAGAAAACAAAACAAAACAATAGACAGGGAGTGGAAAGAGTTGCCTGGACTCGGCTCAGGAATGAGCTGGAATAAAGACTAATTGAGTTCTCTGCAAAATTAAAAAAAAAAAAAAAAAAAAAGAGTAAATAAGAAGTGCTAGGAAAGGTTTTGGAGTTCCTGGATTTAATTTAAGGCAAATTAATCTGTTTCTTGGAAAAAATTCTGAGACAGCCATACAGAGCTTTTCCTTGGCTCTGTCAATGATTTGGTAGACAAAGGTTTCAACACATTATCTGTGGTTCTCAGACCTTACAGCCTATTGAACCATACCAACTACTTCACCAAATACACACACACACACACACACACACACACACGCACGCACACGCACACACGCACACTCATGCACACTGCTTTGGAGCTGTTAGCAGGGCTGTGCTGCCATCCTACCTCCCCAGTCAACAATTGGCTCCTGCCTGTGTGGGAAATCTGTCCTGTACACCAAGGATGTGGCCCTAACAGGAATTCCCAGAAAGGTGAAGGAGGAGGAGGAGGACAGTCACCTAAGCCAATCAGATCCATTTTAATCTACTCTGGGGATCCACACCTCTGCCAAATATAAGAATCTTGTTCTGTACTGTTTTTGGTACCATTAATCACTTTCTCCAGTTGTTTTCATCTCCCAACTGGGATGTCCTTTATGTATCTCAAGTGGAAGGAATTTCCTGATAAAGTTTCTTTTCCTCTTAAAAAACAGATGTTGTATCTCTTGTTGGGAGAATGTATAGAGGAAAGGACCCAGGACCAAGGCCTGAGACACTGGGACACTCCATCATTTAAAGGTGAAGCAGAGGCTCCAAAGTCATCAGAAAAGACTGGGGAGGCATGACTAGTCTGGGTGAAAGGAGACAAAAAGCAGATCATGGTAAGTGCAGCAGAGTGACCGCTGGACTTGACCACATGGAAGGCACTGGCAGGCGACCATATAATTTATTCTCCAAATGGTACATTTACGTTTTTTGAGATTAAAAGGGGATTTTTTGAGAATTACATTCGAGTAATTGGTATAAACAGAGATAACCAGGGAAAACTGAAATATTGATGACCTCAAAAAAGATATTAGGAGAAATTATCTAACTGTGCTATTTAAATACAGTAGCCATTGTCCACATGTGGCTACTGAACAGCTGAAATGAATCTAGTGTGACTCAAAATGTTCCATCAGTGTGAAATATATTACAGATTTCAAAGACTTTGTAAAATATCTCAAATAATTTTTATATTGATTGCATATTTAAAAGAAATATTTACGTATGTTGGGGTAAATAAAATATATTAGTAACATTTTTAAAGAGCAAGTGTTTGAAAGTAAAATATTCTTAGTGACAAAAGCTCATAATGGCCCACAACTTTATTTTTGTGTTAACTACTGATAGTTTCTATATCCTGTTTTAAACTCCCTATACTCTGGAAACATCCAAAAAAAGCCAAATGACTGTGCTTCATTAATCATTTCTGTTTATTAATGAATCTTCCATCTTAATGCTAAACTTCAATTCAACTAAGTAGTACAGTTGATTCTAATTGTGCAACATTAAATGAATAGAAAGGAAATAAAAATAGAAAAAGAGAAGCACAAAACAGAATTTATCTTGGGCTACAGACTGGACATCATTTACACCCCTGTACCTGGCACCAGCTGCCTGTCAGCTCCCTCACACCGTCAGTTGTGGAGAGCCCGGCCAGTGACCAGTGGACGTCTCCAGGCCACTACTGACACTGCGCTTGGGAATGAAAGAGTTGCCTGTGCTTTCTTGTTTAGACTCAGCCAACACCATGACTCCTCTTTTCAAATCTGAGACTCCTGAAAACACAGCTAACTTGATTGATGGTAACAACTGGCTGTTAGTGAGTGTCTCTATGCTTATCTGGATTGCCTTTCTTCAAGTACTCTTCAAATACTCCAAGCCACACGTTTCAGGATTCCCAATTTGTCAAAAACCCGGAAAGAAGGCATTAGGGCCATATCTTGTGATGACTGTGTCAATTCTTGTTTGTTTACCTATTTGTACAGCCTAGAAGTGTGAGTGCTGTTATAGACAAGACTCTGGACTCACGCTGAGTCTCTGCCACATTCGCTCAAAGCCAGAACCTCTGTGCTGTAAATTAAACTTGTTTTCTGTTTATGATAATTCAGCTCTACCTTATCAACTTGAAAAATCAAATCCTGCTCTTCACCTTTAGTATCTACCCACCGGACAGGGTTTTTGCAGTGGTACAAGATGCTAATTTGATCACACTTTTCTCAACTTCTTTCTTATGTCCTTGTCTTTTCCTTGCCACCTAGATGTTTGTGCTTGCATTACTCGTCCACGCATTCACTGCACCTACCTACTAGGTATTGGACACTCCACTAGGCATTAGGAAAGAAATAAAAAAATAAGGTACGATGTAACAGAATGCCTGGCACATGGCACTACAGAAATGTTTATTAAATGAACAAATATGGTCTCTGGCTTTTGGAGCTCAAATTCCACAGGGATAGACAGATATGCAGATAAATAATTACCCTTCAGCATGGCAAGTGCTAGAGTGAAAGCATGCATGAAACGCAGTAAGAAGAAGGAACTAAGTGGCCTGCTTCACTGGAAGAAACAGGGAAGGTGGCACGTGAATTATACCAAGCACCTGAAGTCACAGAGGCACTGGAGTGATGCTTCAACATCACGGCAAATCAACCAAACATGTTCTAAACTGAGTATATACCTCAAAGTATGAATAAAAGGCAAAACTCACTTGATTTGTTTTGCTTACGCTTAGGGCTGCCAATAGAAGCTGCAAATTCACTATGACTTGCGGGTCCTATTCCATTTCGGTCTCTCCAGTTATCAGATTCGCTTCCACTTCCCAAGTGCTCACGACTGTTGGACCGTGACAGGGACATTGATGAGCCCTGTGAACAGTCAAAGCCAGATAAAGAAATGTTTAATAAGGTGGGCTTCTCAGGGTGGGAGAAGGAAATAATTCACGTTGCAGCACTACCATTGACAAACCACTGCAGTTACCCATGAATGCCGACTGTGGCACTTGTCTACAGACTTCAGCCTCCAGCACCAAGGACACTTGGTAATATACATGGTGCCGTGTTTTTCCTGATCATGAGGGAGAGTTCTGAGAGCCCTCAGTATAAAGAATCCTTCCTATAAAATTCAGAAGAGTAGATGCTGAAGTATCTCAGTATTTTGGGGACGACAAAGCAAATCTTCAATCTGTTATAACAAAGATTCTTTGCCTCGTATCACACAAGAATGAATGGGGATGAGCTACAGCCAAGCTAGATCCAATGCTTTCCAAGGAGTTCTAGGCTAATAGAAGTTTTACAGGCTAATAAAACCTGAGGCTGGAGAGAAATCTGGCATTTCCCTGTGTTACCCTCCCCCTAACAACGATACAATCTCTCCAACAAATTAGATACCTGGAATAACTTACCTTTTTTAATTCTCCAAAATAAAAATAATTTAAAACATCTCCAAGTATGCATTGAGCTTGCACTTATTCATTCCTTTATTCTTTTATTTAAGCACCATATTATAGGCACCCCGCTTTGCACTACCCAGAGTATTAAAAGTCAAGAATCTCTGATTTGCAAAGTTTTATGTTCACTGGGTAATGTCAAGAGAATCTTTTACTGTTCACATTGATAAACTCACTCAATTTCATCTTGCAACAACAGCATAACCACAGTTGACCATATTCTCCTTTAAACACTTTCTTCTTTAGGGCATCATGATACCCTAGTCCCCAGGTTTCCCACTGCCCTCACTGGATGTTTTGTAGGATATTCCTCCTATTAAGTATTTCCTATTCTAAATGTCAGAGTACCCTGGGGCTTGGTCCTAGGATCCCTTCACCTCTCTCTGTTCAGTTTCTTGTTAGGTAATCTCTACCTCTTTCAAAGTCTGACAGCAGTGCCCTACTTCCAGATTTGACTTCTCTGGTGAAATTTAATTTAAATCATAAACATGCCAACTGACACCTCCATTTTACTGCCTGACAGGCATCTTGAACTTAACATGCTTGAAGTTGAGCTGTTGGGTCACCTGTCCCCTCAGCTCTCCTCGAACCTATTCCTCTCTGAATGCCTGAGTGCCAGCAAGTGACTCCACTGCTCACCTAGCTGCCCCAGCCAAAAGTCTAAGGCTTACCCTTGATCCTCCTTCCCGCAACACACCCCAATGCATCAGCAAGTTCTATCAGTGGCATTTGGAAACGAACTCCAAATCTGCCCACTTTTCTCCATCTCCACTACTGTCACCAACTGTCTCCTTAATGGCTATCTTGATTCTACTCTTGCCACCTTTCCCCCTAAAATCCATTTTCCATAAAGTAACAAGATTGATTATTTTTACATGCAAATTAGAACAGATCTTGCTTCTGTGTAAAATCTTGTAATGAGTTTGCACTTTACCTTACCTCATGTGCTCATGTGCTCCAAAACTGAGAGGCTCCAAAACTGAGCCTCTGCCTCTCTCCAATCTCATCGCCAGTGTGCACCTACCCTATCCTCCTCTTGTTCTCCAAACTCACCAGCTAGCTCTGCCTTTAGGATGATCATGCCAGAATTTCCCTGGCCTAACACTCTTTCCCTAGATCTTCACAAGGTTGGCCTTTTCTTATCATGCAGGTTTTAGTTTGGATGTCATCCTGCTCATAAGGCCTGCTTTACAACTACCCAATCTAAAGTAGCCTTGGTTTCGCATTTATCAGAGATTGTATCACCTAATGCCTTCTTGTTTACTTGTGTTGTGTTCCTGTCTACCTACCAGAAAGTAAGTTCTATCCACAAAAGCAAGAACCTTGTATTCGCTAGTGCATAGAATTGTGCCTGGGACACATAAGGTGCTTAATATTTGTGGAATTACGGAGTAAATCCCAAAGATTCTCTTCCCTCCATCTGTGGAATGCCTTTGCTGAATTTTGGGATTGGATATAAGGAAATAAAGGCTCCTGATGCCAAAAAATGACTTTTCCAATGGAAATATCTTTAATATTTATGTATTTAATAAAATATCTAATATTTTCACTCTTAGATTTGTAAAATTTAAAATAATCAGATACCCTCATTACTTCTTAGTGCTGGGGGAAGTTCAAAACCATCCTTGATTTCCAATGCAGGTTTTTATTTGCTCTGGAGAGTATGTGACCATTACTTATGCTTTTAAGAGATAGACGGCAAAAAGACAAGGAAAATCCCAAACCTCTTTGTAGCTTTGTTGAGGTGACAGAGATACTGCAGGTCAAAGCAGCTTTTTGTTTGACTTTTGGTGTCCCTATATAATATCAAGGAAACAGGGTCATATTTTTGAGTCTTGGAGAAAACAGTAAAGCTTGAAAGTGCCTGCTTCTTATCTAAAGGAGCTCTTTGAAATGAGTTAATTTCTCAAAGGTACCCTAAAACTGGAAAAAAAACAGCTCAAGTCTAGCTTCTCAATGACACTGAACATAGAGTTTGAAGTACCAAATTCTTGCCTCAAGCAAACTTGCTAGAGCAAGAAACCCTTGGTCCCTGGCACATCAAGTGTGCAGCTCTCACCTGTCAGGACCTACTGGCCGAACATGCTGCTTCTTATAGATCAGCATTCTCCTTGTTGATTTCGTTTTATTTTTCTTTGCAAAAAGAGTAAGGAAAAGAAGAGTGTTTCTAGCCACCATCCAAATAAAAAATATTAGTGCTATAAGCATAGATGTGGTTCTTTTGGTTTTTGGTGTTTTTTTGTTTTTGTTTTTGTTTTGTCTCACTCTGTTGCCTGGGCTAGAGTGCCATGGTGTCAGCCTAGCTCACAGCAACCTCCAACTCCTGGGCTCAAGTGATCCTCCTGCCTCAGCCTCCCGAGTAGCTGGGACCCCACGCATGTGCCACCATGCCTGGCATATTTTTTTCCTATATATTTTTAGTTGGCCAATTAATTTCTTTCTATTTTTAGTAGAGACAGGGTCTCTCTCTCTTGCTCAGGCTGGTTTCAAACTCCTGACCTTGAGTGATCCGCCCACCTCGGCCTCACAGACTGCTAGGATTACAGGCTTGAGCCACTGTGCCCGGGCCTATAAGCATAGATATGGTTCTTTTAATAAATTCGTTCTTTCTACTTTTCCCCAGGTGCTTCCCCATGTCCTAATCCATACAAGTGACCCTTACTGACTGTTTTTACTCTTTCTGAGCCATGGAAGAAGGTAAGGAAAGGTGTGCACATGCAGGTAGTAACTGCTGCAGAAAATCAGAGAATGAATTCTATGTGAGGGGCCCTTGCCCTCCATCTCAAAGGATTTGGGATGGATTCGGAAAAGTTCAAGTCCTACATATCAGGGAGAATCTATTGTAGAACATCATTCCTAAAGAAAGCTTGATTATATCTCTCCATCAGTAGCATTTAAAGGGGCAGTGAAGAAAAGCAGATTACAAGTGAATGCCCATGCTCTGATCCAGCTGGTTCTACTTGCTCCTTCCCCATCTTTCAATGTGAATGGGCAGCTAGACACTAACCAGGATGGTGGAGCAGGCTAGCCCACCATATCCAAAGCATGGAAAGCCACAGGGCTTTCTGCCCACAGAAAGTAGTCTATCCACTCTTGCAAAGTGCTAGAACAGAAGAGCCTTTCTGGTTCCTATGCCCATTTCTGCCATCGTGCCCCTTAGTGTTATGTCCCTTTGCAGCAGTTTCATGAGAGATGCCTGCATCACAACTTTATGAGATACTTGCTGAAAACGCAGGTACTTGATATTCCCTACCTGCAGAGTAAGATCCTGGAGGCAGAATCTGCATTTGTATCAAGCTCTCCAAGTGACTTTTATGCCCATAAAAGAAATGGCAACATGGCTGTAGATCAGCTACATGTCACCTTTTGCTATGGAATCTCTTGGGTTAAATCATTAAGAAGAGCAGTATGAGGACATTTTTATAAAAATTAACTCAATTCATCTCTCTGACATTTACTGACCGTGACCTTGACTAAGACGCACAACCATTCTGGGGCCCTCTTTCCTCACTGGGAGTTTGTGGGGATAGAATAAACTTTTGGAAGAAAATCCACCTTATAAACCACAAAGAACTAAATGAATGTGATTTAAGATAATTACTACTAATTCATTATGTGTTCATAAAATACCCTAAGGTATCTTTGGATATAAAAAGCATGAATAGCTTGAATGTGCAGTAGTACCTCCAATGAGCCTTTGTGTACATAATCTCATCTTTCAGCAGGCCCTGGTTTTCTGCAGGGCAAAGTTCTCCAATGGAAATAGTAATAGCAGCTCGATAAGTAATTACTAAGAATTTACCATGCACCATGCTAAGCACTGGACGCCCTCCCTGATGCCCTTCTCAGTATAGTCTGAAGGTGAAAACAGGCTCAGAGGAGTGAAGTCACTCACCAAAGCTACACATTTGGTCGGCGGTGGTCAGCAGACCCCACGGCCCCTGCACTTCAGCAATACATTACTGAAAGAATCATCATTTTCAACTTGTCAAACTGTTGGTCTCAGGGAGCAGAACTCAATGAGCATTTCAAAAGCTAAATATTTCATCTCTGAAACTACAGAACACAATCAACAACCTAACACTTCACTCTGCAAAATGCAAGGGTGAGTGAAAAGGACAACCATAGGGTGTATCAGCAGAAAGTCTAAAGATTAGCACAGCAGTGTTATGGTCTCTGCTAACAGAAGGAGATGTTTATTTTCTCTCAGCCGCTGTAATGGCAGAAAGAGGAGGATACCTCCCAGGGCCTCGACATTTTTCATAATGGTCCGTGTATGCTCGCTGCTGAAGGTAATTTCAATCTCTAAATGTAGCCTGCCAGGTTGCTGCTGTAACTCTAACAATGCAATTCATAGGAGACCGTTCTTTTTCGTATTTCAATAGTACTTGCTTTTCCACTTACTCCAAGAGACAAAGAAAAAAGCAGCATGTTTGCTTTTGCCTTTCATCAACAGCCTAGTTTATTACAAAGAAAATGGGTGGAGAAAAGGAGGTCAATCGACAAATGCTAGTTGTCAGACTAACAATTATGAAACCCTTAACCGGTATTTGTTTTTCAGCCTACGGTGCTCTGGTTGAGCACTGTGATTCTTGGACTCATCGTCCGCGTCCACTCTAGGTCTGCCTGGCGCGTGTGCGCATGCGTACGCTCTCTCCAGCCCCCACCCCCACTCCCAGGGGTTTACAGCCAAAATCGGAGACTCTCAAATGGAAAAGTCCTGCTTGGTGAGTCACGTGTAGCCTGGCTGAGGAGTTTGGAACCCTGGATTCCTCCTCCAAGTGGTAAGAATGCCAGCTTCCCAGTCTCACCCTGAGCAGTGCAGCCAACATCTGGGAAACATAAAAATTCTGGAGCTCTTGTTTGAGATACTTCCTGCTGTGTTCTTGGCATGTCTGAACACAGTGAATTTTTAACTCATATCTGAAAACCTGTTTTTGTTGAATATTTGCCTTTTCCCCCTATGGTGGCCTTGCTAGTGATACCCTTGGATAAAAGAACTCTTTATCCATTTTCCTGGACTATTACTTCGCCTTTCTCTTAATCTCAGCCCTATTCTATCATTTATGACACACCCCACCCCCCAACAAAAACACACGTCCAAATCTACAACTCAACAACTAATCAACAACTTCGAGGGAACATACATAAAAGACCATAATATATATGATTGTACTGATTTTATAAAAATATGTTACAGGAATAGAAATAAGAAATTATCACTAATTGCTTTCCCTTGTGTACATAAAAAATGGGGGAGCATGACTGTTTGCTTTTGCTGAGAGAACAGAAAGGAAAAATGGGTTGGGGTGTGACTCTACAAACCTCGTATGTGGTTGTCATTGTGGGTTTATAGGACACATGGTTGGCCCTTCTCAGCTCCTTGATAGTTTCAGCCGGCATGGATTTAGAAAACCCCAGGCCACTCCAGGTATTTGTGGGTGTTCTGACCTCCGTCACCACTGGTTTCTTTAACATAGCTTTGGAAAACAGAATATATTAATAAAACAAATGCCTGGTACATTTAACGTATTATGTAAATAAAATACCAATGATAGGCACTGCTTCTTTGATATATGTGAAGAAATTATCACTGAATGTTATTTCTTAACACAAAATGCCTAAAATGTGTTAATAAAACATTTTAACTAAAGTAACAATAAATGAAAAAATGCTACATGATTTCTTAATTGATCTAATGCTAACTTATTCAACAGAATAATATCCAATCTAACAGAATTTATACAACCTGAACCCAAACATTTTGTTTTTTTTTTTTAAGGAGTGTCCAATTTCTCAATTCAACATGAGTAGTCAAAAAACTATTTATGAATGTATTAAAAAGCAATCAAAGTATAAATCATTAGTGTATCATATACCTTTGGTTGCTAATAGCTTCTTTTGTTCATAGTCAAATGCCTGAAAATGGAACAGAAAGAAAATATTTTTATTGTCAGTCTTTCCAAATGTCATGCCAATACTCCACAGTTAGAGATAGACATAGATTTCAACTGTATCCTCTGCATCTGCCTGAGACACATGCTAAGCTTTGCACCATAATGTGACAGAAATCCGATGTAAGTCTGATAAATTTAAACGTGTTTTCAAAACTAATAAATTAGAATAAATTACCGCTTCTGACTTTAAATCATGGCACTGACAAGAGTTAGAGTTTTTCCTTCAAAAAGAAAAAAAAAACATCTTATTCACCATAAATATGTAGCACATCAGGGCCAATATCTGCTAGATAACCTCATAATGGTTATGCTAAGTTTCAAAATAATACATTACCAAAATGCTGTCAGGTATCTATTGGCCCCCTTTGTGTCTCAAAATCCCCTCTGCATTTAGGTAAGCATGGCTTGAAGTGGTTTGATGTCAAGGCAACTGAAGAAATTATTTAGCCGAAGTGGCATAGGCTTTGCTTTTGAAGTGAAATAAATGTCTAGCTTTAATCTATAATGGTGTTAAACAATGCAATAAGGTTAAATCTAGTTACTTTTTATCTCACAGGACAGGATGGCACCATTTATTCCCTTTGCACTGAATGAGTAACTATGATGCAGCCAGGTCTACGTAGATACCAAGACAGGTCTTTCTGAAGAAAGGAGTGCAGATACAGCTACATCTCCAATTCCATTTGAGTGTTATCAACTCTCCAGCTTAAGAACTAACTCAGATTTGATTTAAGCACGTCTCAAAGGCCCACCAGGTCAAGAACCAGTTGGCAAGAGCTCTCTAACCCTTCTCCCAGGAAGATTACACCACGTAACTTATGGTCTGAAACAGGACACTTCTGAGAGTGAAATGTGCCGTGCATAATAATCAGGCCAGGATAATAAAAGTAAACAGGGGCTGTCCCAGACAAATCAGGATGTGCGGTAACAAAAAACACGGCCATAAATCAGGAGAGCCAGATTTTTAGATAACAGTTTGATGGTGTTTTTGAAACCCTAGGACTAAAAGGGCACTGGGAATTAAAATCAACTTTTAATTATTAATATCTAAGGGCAAGGGGTGGGGAGAACCTAAATTCACTTGTTCAGTAAATATTTATGGAGTGTCTACTGGTTAAAGAGACTGTGCTGAGCTCTGTGGAAGAATACAAAATGAATCAAAAATAATCTACGGCCTCAATGACTTACAGTCTTAGGAGGGTTGAGAAAGGGAAATAACTATAAAATAAATTAGGAAGTGAGATAAGTGTGAGAAGACAGCTGGAGATATAGCACTCCAAGACCGATCAGGAGACAAAGATCATTTTCAGCCAAGGAAAGCAGGGAAGTCTTCAGGCTTCTCCCTGCCAATGCTCAGTGACTATTATCATTGATTTCTTAGTGATTTTCAGAGTCAGCTATTCACTAACAGGACAAATACATCTATATAACTTGCAAGTCTATCATCAAGAACATTTCATCCACCCCAAAGGAAAGAAACATAAAATTGGGTTCACTGAAGATATAAACCTTATGCAAAAGACTATAAGAACCACAAGACAGACAAAAACCATAAAGGGTTATAAAGGGGATCTGATATTTCCTAATGAGAGAATTTTGATTTATTTTAACTGAAAATTCAGAGAAAATGTAATCAATGTCTTTTTTTAAAAAAACACTGATACATTATAAAGGCCATGGCTTTTGTAAAAACATTCATCTAAAATCTCATGAAAATATTCAAATGCAAAGGATTAAAACACAGACAGGAAGGACTGAACTGGAGTTTGCACTGAAATTGCAGTAGCATAATTTAGTTCCATGAGTTAGTTTCCTTGACACATCTATGGCAGCATTTTTGTTTCTAGCATTTTATGAAAAGTTTTCCTCTTTTTTAGAGGTGGAATGATGAGGGTGATAAATCTCTTAACTGTGAAATAGGTAGGTCTACCCCGTAATTCTGGTTCTAAAATTAAATGTTTATAGGAATCTCTAAAACAGAAAGCACAAAATCCTTATCTTTCATATTTGTGACCCATACGGACAACAGATTTTGGAGTTTCATGGACAATAGTCTATTTGAATAATTAGCCTAATACTTTGAAAATGGATACAGAGAAAGTCCCTATTGCAGAAATTGTTTAAAATAATCATAAAAGTATGAACTAACACAATCATCAATATTCAGCATCTATTTTCAAATAAGTAAAACTTCACATTATTTTCACAACTATCTTTAAATGGCACCAAATTTATCATCTCCATTTCAGACAGAAGAATATTATATCTATTTATCCAAGACTATGTCATGAGGCGGTAAAACTTAGTAGCACAGTCCCTCACATTCGTCTAAAATTTTTTCAAGTAACAGATGAATAATGCTATTTGCATAAGACATAGTGACACAGCTCATTTTGTACCATTTTTAATGTCATATTTTAAAGAACTCTTCTCACTTAAGCTAAATTTAATATTTCATTTTTAATGTTTATAGCAAACTACTGTGTGTGTGTGTGTATATATATATATATATTTCATTTTGAAGGGATTACAGAAGGAAAACCTAATTTCTGCACTACTGCTGAACACGCACTGAATTCTCTATACCCTAACCCAAGCACCCTATGTTTGAATGACTTTTCCTATTTTATTACCTTTACCTGCATGTTGACGTATGATGACCGTTGAGCAAGGTGGGCCCTTTCGGAGTTTTGCTGGGCAGCTGCCGCCCTCTCTGCGGCTCGCTCACTCCCTGGAGCCTTCTTGTCAGCCAAAGGGCTTTCTGCAGCACTCAGTTCAGGGTCTGAGAGCAACCTGTCAGTGCTGCTGTGAAACAGAGTTTGGAATTTAACACTCCAGTATACATTCAAATGTACTCAATGTTTCCCATGTGCCAGATTTACTAGGCATGTTTACCATTGCCAACTATTTATATCTCATTTAATCCTTGTAACAATGCTACCATGTAGGCACTACCATCATACTCATTTCACAGATGTGAGAAGTATCTTGTCCAAGCTCATACTTCCAGTGTAAATACTAGAGCTCAAATTTGAACCCAGGCATCGTGACTCTAGGACTAGAGCTTGAAACTATTTCATGATATATATTTATACACATTATACATATAGCATATATGATATATTGCATATAATACAGGTGGAATAATTATACAGACAAGATTTCTATTATACATCAAGGAAACATCAATGACTCATGCGTGAGTCAATCTGAAGGCATGCCAATGATGCAATTCATGTGTGTGAAATATGCATATGATATTAATAACAAATAAAGGTAGCAGATAAATATTCTCCAGAGAGGGTTTAGGGGAATGGGTAGAGCATGAAAGTGTTTCCTATAATGGAGGCTTCTGAAGCGGTTCGTTATTGTCTTTGGAAAGAGAAGCAGCTGGAGTTCATTTGTGTTTGGCTGAGAAATGCTGAGAGTAGAGAGGCATCTCTCCTTCTTAAACTAGAATTCTCTTTCCATCAATAAAAATCTCTTTAGGTACACCTCTTTTTTGATGCATGTAACACATGACACATACAGAACACATGCACCCCAAGTTCAAATAAAATTGTACGTTAGGCTCAAATAAAAATAGGGATACACAGTATCAATCAAAGAGCTGAATTTATTCATTAATTCATGATTTTATTCATTCAACTATTCAGCTGTTGCGCCAGGGGAATTTAGAATAATTTAGAAAGGACTATTGTAATATACAAAGAGGAACAATGAACTTTGGTTGACAAATGTAGACAGAGGCTTCACTGAGGACATCTGAACTGGGAACTAAAAGGTATCTGCAAATTCACTGCTGCTAAAAGCCAGGAGAAGAGCACATGCAATTCAGATTTGTGGTGGTTCTTAAGCCACATTGTGACAAGATCCGATTTATGTTTCCAGGATTATTTACTGGAGCAAAATAAAAGACAGAGCAAGCTGATCAGAGACTGGAGGCAGAGAGACCATTCTGAGGGCTACAGCTTAATCCAGATGAAGATGATGAGAAGGTTCAGAACATACTCAGTGATGAAAGGAATGAGTATATACTTCAAATGCTTCAGTAGTTAGAGGAAAGCACAATCATTTCTCTAACCTGTACTAAACAACATTAATTTTGAGTATCAGTGTCAAGTAAAGAAAAACACAGATAAAACTGAAATAGACAAAATGGGAATAATAATGATTAACCAAATTTATAAAACAAAATGGATTTTAGTATGAAAGGGAGGAAATATGAACATATATGCTAATCTTTGCATAAGGACACTCTGTAAGGATATGCAATGAATTAATAAGACAGCAGAAGAAATTAGGTGGATGGGGTAGGTGAGACAGTGAAAGGACAAACCTCTCATTGTAGAGATTGCCCAAAATAAATGGAAAAAGAAAACAGTGAGGATGCCACAACGCATAACTGTGCTATGGTAAGAGAGAGTTATATTTGATACAATTTATGTATTTCTATGCAATATCATTTGGAATAAATAAAAGCATGACATCACCAGGCATTTATTAAAAATGTTCACAATTGATTACCATGGAAAAAAGGGAGTTACAGTTTCAGAAAGACATTCAAAGCCAAATGAAAGAGAATGAACAGGTGGAAAATTCATACCAACAAGAGGCAGAGAATAAAAATTGCCCTGCTGATTACTGAAGAGCAGAGAGAATGCGAAAGTTTCAGAACAATACAGGTGGTTTAGAGGACACAGATATGAACCTAATCAACTAAATGGGGGAAGAACTACAGAGACAATAGAAAAGGGTGAAAAATCATCAGATATTATTCCTTAATAAAAATTTTTAAAAAGAAAAGATAAAATGAAAGCTCATGCACGAGATCAAACCTGACTTGAACTGAAGAGTATTGAGTTTAAAACAAATTTAGCCTGTTACATACTTTCTTTCAAAGGATCAAGGCTTTTAAGATTAAAATACATACTGTAAGTGTGAGTTTTTCGTGCCTTGCAGTAGTTCTACTGTCTGCCTCTTGGCACAGGAAACCTTGGAGGGACCCATCATCTGTTTCAAGTCACCAGTATTCCCAGAATGGGAAGGACTTCGAGGCATGCCTACTTCAACAAAAGCATCATTACAGCCTGCAGAGGAGAAGAAAAAAAAGTGAGACATCTAAACATCAGCATCTTACAGTTGATAATTACCCGCAATGGAAACAAATCAGAACCCAATTCTACGGTGACGTGATCAGCCCGACACAGGTGTAATGGCTTTCATCTGAAAAGAGGACACCTTCACAAATTCAGGCTGTCATAAAAACCCAATTTGAAGACAAGATCCTCATATTTTTTAAAGATTATTTGGGGTATAGGAGTTATAAAAAGACACTCGGTAAAAAAAAAATATACACACACACACATATATATATATATATATATAACATTTGGTAAGTTGATGCTTTCCTGTGACACAATTACCTTCTCTTTAATTTAGGAAGTTACAATGTAATGTGGAAGTGATTCTTTCCTTGGAAAGTGATTTTCACCATGCTCTTTGAAATTTTTTTTTTTTTTTTTTTTGAGTCTCACTCTGTTGCCCAGGCTAGAGTGAGTGCCATAGCGTCAACCTAGCTCACAGCAACCTCAAACTCCTGGACTCAAGCGATCCTCCTGCCTCAGCCTCCCAAGTAGCTGGGACTACAGGCATGAGCCACCATGCCCAGCTAATTTTTTCTATATATATTAGTTGGCCAATTAATTTCTTTCTATTTATAGTAGAGACGGCGTCTCACTCTTGCTCAGGCTGGAACTCCTGACCTCAAGCAATCCGCCCGCCTCGGCCTCCCAGAGTGCTAGGATTACAGGCGTGAGCCACCGTGCCCAGCCAGCTCTTTGAAATTTTATTCAAGATGTTGTCTTTCTACCTAGTTCCAGCAGGATGAGTCATAGATGGTTAGCAAAACCAACTCAAAACCACTGCACAGGCTCTCTACGACCCTCTTGTTATACAAGTAACAAACTGGACTGAATTTCAGCAGGAAAGACACAGTTTCTGACCTTCTGCAGGGCTTGATTTGGGAGATGCCTGCTCAGACCCGGTTGTCTGGATGGATGGATCACCATGATTCGCACTCAGCACTTTCTCTCCAAGGGATGAAGTGGATATTGCACCATATTTTATATTTGGAGACTGAAATAATAACAGAAAATAACACAGATATACGGTCATCATTTTACAATTTAAAATTCATTTCAGATGAAGGTTTAAACGTTATTTAAACCAGTGGCTTATCTCTTCTAAACAGCACAGATCACACACCATTCTAGCAGAAGGGCATTACCTGCGCATGTCCATTTAAAGAAGCAGAGATTTTTTTGCCTTCTGTCTGCAGACTGTTGATATCAACAGGAGTCAAGCCAGGAGGGGGAGACGGAGCCGTGTGCCCATAGGTAGGCACTCCAGACAACAAAATATTGGTTAACGTGGCTTGGGCAGTAGATGGAATCATAAGGTGTGGTATTGCAGAAAAACCTATACAACATTCCATGAAGACAGATATTGGGGAAAAAACTCAGCTGTTATTTTGAGTAACAACAAAAAATGTCATTTTTGTTGCTGCAAATTCAGAAACGAACTCAATTTTGATACCTCTCCGTAAATAGGTTTAACATTACTCTAAAGATATAAAAGAATGTTAAAATGGAACAACACCACCATGGAGAATATTTAATCCAAGACCCTCGTTATTACAGATGAGGAAAATAGCTAGGATGAGCATGTGCTCATGACTACCAAGCAGGTTAGTGCAAGTAGGGCCTGTGTTTCCTAACTACAGGGTCAATACTCTTTCTTCATGTTCCCCTGTCACTGCTCCCTGCACATGATACTCTTTTTCCTAATCTGCTTATCACATTTGAAGATATTTCACACTTGCATGAAAAACTCACTGCTTTGTTGTGCTTCATTTTAACTAATTTACACATCGGGGAATTTCTGTTTGGCTGGAGTACGCTTTGAACCATAATTTCCCCTATGGAAACCAAGCCATTAGTAACTTTTATTTTAAAAAAAACCAATAATACCTAAGAATACATGCCTCTGAGTATACTTTAATGATACTCACCTGTGGCACTTGAAGTATTAGCAAGTGGGGGTGCCCATAATGTGGGGCTGGGGGTGCCAGAACTGGGACTTTGCAAAGGGCTGACTGAGCTATTCAGAGCATTCAAGAGTGAGTTTGGGGTTGTCGAAGTGTTTAAAGACAAGGTGGTGGGACCCAAAAGACCTGTAAGAAATAAATGTAAAGTCAATACACAGAAACTCAAGATTTTAAAATAGAGATGGCACCAATATTGCCATTTGGGGTACACATTGACATAATCTGATATTTTGTAAATATAAAATATGGGTGACAGATTTTCTTTCAAATATTCACACGAAATATTGCATTGTACAACTCCCGCACAGGGATTAGCTCATCCACAAACAGATGCTATCAGGAAATGGGAGACAGATGTGCCCAAACCCAGATGGTGGTCAGGGTCGCTGAGCAGCGCCAGGTCCTTTGCATTCATGTCAACTAGCCAGGATGCTCAAGCAGAGACTCTTTCTTATTGCTCTGTGTAATTCACTGGTCATCGGCTTCCAGCCATCCTTTTCAAACCACTCACACTCACCAGTGACTATGGAATGTTTTCCTCTGGTAGGATGGATCTACTCAGCCCATTTGCAAACAGGCCGAGCTACAGGCAACAGTTTTTAAATGTATGCTGAAACACATACATGACTTCTTTGGGCTCCATCTTGATGACTGAAGCTTTTCTCAGGAAAAAAAAATATATATATATTGTTTTTTGTTCTAAGGAGTCAATGCTTGAATTTAAGTAATTAAATTTCTCTTTGGGCATTTAAAATATGTTCTAAAACAAAAATGTGGATTTATAACAAGTTTCTAGGAATACACACAAATCATTAAGTATTATAGGATAGGTATAGCCCATGAAAACATTTTAAAAATTCAGTAAGTCTGAGTCTTTGCTCACTTATTTTCTCTCTAGTGCAGGGTAAGCTTGGTTCTTGCTAAGTGATCTAATTGGCATTTTCTGGCTCACAGGCATTGCTGTTATGATGACTCTGGTTCAGGTCCCAGTGGAAGGAACAACTTTGGTAGATTGGGGGCCAAGAAAAAAAAAATACTTCTTTACTGTAATGATGTCTACTTGGAATCTCAATAATATTATAATCACGTTAAAATCTGTAAAAGAATAGCTGCTAGAAAAAAATTTTGTAATTTTGCTGACAGTATTTTTTGTTTCAAATCAGCACTGAGTGAGGCAGAATTATTTCTTAAGGTTACTGCATTAATTAAAATAAATACAGGAAGTGGAGAAACATGCAAGAAAGTAGTGAACCTAGCATAACTGTGTAGAGACACTAACTTCTGCCCGTAAGATGACAATCCATAGATGAGGCCATAACTAGAACCATGATTATTAAGTGGCTCACCCTAATTTCTTAAAGAACTAAAGCACTGAGATGATGCTATTTACTCATTTTGCTATTACTCACCTTAGATGTGAACACGAGTCTAGCTGCAGGCTAGATTTCCTTTGTATCTGGATGAGGCAAGCCCCCCACCACTGGGGCTGGGGAGTTCTGCATGTTTTCGCCTCCTCCTCACCCTAACCCTCACACAGATTTGCAATTACTTTTTGAAAAGCAAATGGGATAATCTTTATCTCTAGGGACCGATGGCAATATTGCAAATGCAAGAGAGAACAAACACATAAATTATAGTCAGCCTGCTCCCTTCAATCTTAATGGCATTCTTAATTTAGAAGAACACACACAGCCACAGAAAATAAAACAGTCAGACCTTGATTGTTTATGCCAACATGGGGAGAACCTAGATAACAGAGATCCATAGTCTAACAAAAAAAACCAAAATGGACTGGTGCAAGTTTTGTTGCTTTTCACCTGATCTTAGGACCTAAAGAAGAAGAAGAAGAAGAAAAAAAAAGCCTTTAAATGTAGACCTGAATGGTAGAGAGAAAGGGAACCAGATAAGCATATCCCCGGTGACTGAGAAGCGCTGTAATAATAAATTTTATACCTAGTCCAGTGAGTCCGAGGCCTGCTGAAGCTAAGATATCCAGGCTGGGACATGCCAGGCCGGCAGGGCACGATGCTGGGGACGGACTGGTTGCTATGGTAACCCCACTGCTTTCAAGTCCGAGGAGACATTTCCTTGCTTCATACATATTTAAGGCATTTCGCTCAACACTTTTCACAATCACAGACTATGAAAACACATAATGGGGGGAAAAAAAAGTGACATGCGAGTCGTCTACAATGGATGGGGGAAGAGGGTGGGGGGAAGGCAGGTGGAAAATGAATATGCTAATAAGAATTCCACTCAGGGGACGTTTTAATGTTGCTTTAAAAATCAACCGCAAATTCTAACCACTTATTTCTTAAGTTCACTCCTTCTGGTAAGACCGTAAGACCTCAGTTACCATTTACCCGGGCACGTCTTGTGTTCCCTTGTGCTATGAGAGAAGCTGCACGTGTTCCCTTTCTGGGCAGAACCCTATGGGCTGGGAACCGTTCCTCATGCTCAGCGAAGTTAAGGGACCTAGCCAAGGTCGCTCACGGCACAGCTGTGGAAGGGCAGCCAGAGGATGGGAACGCGGTCCGACTCCACAGCCTCTCATCTCTACACTAAAGCTTCCCCGCTTTTATCTCATCTTTACGAACCAAATTAAGCTTGTCGCCACATATAGGGTGCATAATAACAGTCACTTACGTTTGACATTTATAGTTTACTAGTTAACTAATAGACTTTGAGGCACCACTATTCCTCATCGATGAAACAGCTATGGCAAAGCTTATGGTAAAAAAAAAAAAATATTCGTAAATAACAAATCATCATCCCCCCTCGATGGACTCATTTTGAAAATTGGAAATGTGAGCCCACGGGGGAAAGCCTCCAATGGACAGTAAAGAAAATTTGTGGCTGAGAAAGCAGTTAAAGCAGTAGTTAGAATAGGGCCCGGCTAGGCATAAGTAAATGAGGCTCCAGAGTTCTCATTTATAATGTATTTTTCTCTGACCCCTGCTAATTTCTTATTGAACTCCTGCAATTCTTCTTGTGCCTGTCCATCTTTATATGCACAAGTCCTCAAATATCTCTTCTGTCTTTATCTTTTAATCCTGGTACCTACAGTGACTCTAGTCAACTCAAATTAGTCAAACATGAAGCTCACAATACATAAAAATTAATGTCCTGGTATCTAACTTTAAACTCATTATATCACGTTCACTTAGAATCAATGCTATCTTTTCCTTTAAAGTTTTGTTTTCGAGAAGGCATGATTATTTTTCTTCTTCAGTTGGACAGCAAATATCACATTATTTACACATATACAAACTTATATATAATACATGTTATACATATACCATTCTATATTTACCTTAAGATTTATAGTTTAGAAATTAAAAAATAAAAGGCATGACTGTTCGGTGTTTTACTTTCTAGAGTAAGTTAGGGAACTCAACTCAGTTCAGGAATTATATTTTATGTTTTTCTTCTAAACTTTCCTTCAATTTAACACAGTTACATTTTATAAATCCTTTTATTTTGAAGTTATTTTTTTAAAAAAACAAAACTTAGAAAACCAAGATTAATATAACAACTATGTACCAAACCCCAGAATTGTTTTTTATTTCTGATTTTTGTTAAAGAAATAATTCTCTTATTTACTATCCTAGTTTCATTTTCCTTCCCACTGCACCAAGGCAACTCTTCATGAATTTGGTGTCTATCAAGCCAGACAATGCTTTGCACTTTAAAAACATAGGTATACCTAAATGCTACCATTTAGTACATGTTATCACACAATTTGCTTTTTATACGCAACAATATTTTTTAGTTGGCTTCTGGTGCAAAGCAAATTCTGGTTGACTTCTGAAAGTTAACTCCTCAGAGAGTTTAACTGGATGTACAACTGCTGCAGGTAGGGTTTTCAGTACTTCCAAAATAATCGGATGGTCCCAAATTGCTCTTCAAAGTGGTTATGCTAATTTACACAACAATATTAATGTAGGGACATTCCTCTTTCCTCATTCTCACTAGCACTTAAAATCAGATTTATCATATTAAATTTTTACTATAAATGTAATTAATGAAATTTTGCAACATCTTACAGGAAAAGTTCCAGGAAGGCTGAACTGAGGACAATTCAGTACTTAAAGTTAAAATAATAGGTACCTATTTCTTAAATCTCCAAGGCTAGCATAATGGCTGGCCTATAGTAAGTACTCTAAATTTTTAAAATTACATTGGATATGTACACACACACACACACATATAAATACATAACACTTAAGTAGCCTTATCAGCCCTCCGGTAACTTAATAAAGTTTAAAGTTACCAGATTGCAAATTAAGAAAAAATGTTTTTCTATTTATAGAAAAAATAATGGTTACTAAAAATGGACTCCAAAAACCAACACACATATAAAGAAAGTGATGATCAATAATACATACTGTTACAAATGTATATTTATATAACTAAATATATAACAATGTATATATTATACAGGTTGAGTGGCCCTTATCTGAAATGCTTGGAACCGTAAGTGTTTTGATTCTGTCATTTTCAGATTTTGAAATATTTATACTGGGTTGAGCATTGATAACCTGAAAATCTGACATCTGAAATGCCTGAATGAGCATTTCCTTGGAGTGTCATGTTGGTGGCTCAGAAAGTTTCAGATTTTGGACCATTTTAGACCTTCAGATTGGAGATACTCAACCTGCACAGAGTAATAGTTTCATGTATAGGCAAATACACACTTGTATGCAAAATAACACCACATACAATACAATACGATACATGATTCTCCGGGTCCAGACTCTGAACCAACCTTGCTTGGCTGTTTTGGCTTTGGTTTAATACTGATGAAGACATCAAGCTGTTCCATCAACTGGGCAATGAATTGTGGATCTACTTCAATTTCTTCCTTCATATCAAACATCAACACAAGAGGAAGACAACCCTAGAAAATGCCACAACAGAATGTTTAGGAGGTAAAAAATTAATCATTTAAACACCTCATAATTTAACATGCCTGCAAATAATACAATATGTCCTAGATTTAAAGAGTAAAAGCCCAAGTATTATAGCTAAATTATATACCTTCATACGGCTTGGAGGATTGGTGTGGGAATAATGTTGAGGGGGAGAAAACTATTTTTTAGATGATAAAATTATATGTCTTATGTTTCTGGCTTGGTCCTGAATTTTTTATCCACTCTGTACCTTGGAAAATTCCTTTATTCTATCACTTCAGTTTTGTTAGTGATGCTAGAAACTAGAGTCTCAACCACAGCAAGGGTACTAATCTTATGCTTTTGCTCAGTGACTTATAGTGGTGGCTTTTTACAGTATCCTGAATGAAAACTAAACACGTATCAGTATTTAAAGAGCTCCACATTTTGGCCCAGACTTGCTTGGCCAACCACAGATCTGTATGTCTGCCCTTCCTCCAGGACAGACCAGCCTCAAAACTATCCTTTAAAGGGATCCTGCATTTTGGAATCTTAACTAATCAAAGGCTTCTTCACCAACACAAATCCTGCTTATCTTCTAACATAGCTCAAACCTTTTCTCCTTCCTGGAGTAGATTGCTACTATTATCCCTTATTTAACTATCTCACTTTTAGCACTGAAGAGTTTAGTTTTTTGTTTTTTTTTCTCTGATACTTTCTTCCTAGCCCCTAATCCACTCAGTATAGAAACCATGTAGTGCTAGCTCACTGGTTGCTGGATTTCGTACACACATCTTAGGAGAAGTTACCACTAAGCATACTAGGATAAAAATGAAATACTATGCTTCATTTCTCTTGTGGATAAAAGTGATTTTTTTTATAAGGACTGTGCTATATTAAAAAAAAGGTGGCGGTATTTAAAATATAGGTTGAAGCCTTTTATTTCCCCCTTACTTCTTTCAATACTGCGCAATAATGTGTCATTTCATTTTTGGCAGGTATGGCCAAAGTATGAATGTGAATTCATAACTGCACAGAATGATGTCTAAAAAACTTGTAAGCTGAAAAAATATGAAAAATAATTATAACCATTCTTAGATATGAATATGCTACCTGACTGGTAGCTTAGTATATTAAAAATAATCTGATAAAATAACTTGGCTAAAACAAAATTACTCACAATAAAAAATTTCATAAAATCATGGATTATAATCCTTAATAAGTATAACAAGTTCTCATCTGTCAGAGGAATGGAGTCAACAATAAAAATTTGGATTTTCTTAAACTTTCTCAAAAAACAAATTCTGCAAGTTAATAATAGCAAAGGTCACACCTGATGCTTAACTGATTCAAATGTCAGTAAAGGTCAAGCCCTGAATGAGAGAATACAATGGTGTTTTTGATAAGAATATTTGTGAGCCTAGCATTATATCCATCCATTTTGTTACTATGTATCAACTCACACACTGGGGGTTTTAAATGAATATAGGAAGGACAGAAACACTGTAAACTATAAATTAGAAACAGTATTGAATTATAGCATATAACTCTGCTGTTTTTCTTCAATAAGTGATGCTCAAATTTGTGGCTTAAATGGTATTTTAATTGTAAACAGTATTTTATCAGAGATTTATGAAATGTACAAATATTTCAGGCTGCCAACACTTGTCTCTCTGAGGGTGAAATCTGAATTATATTTTTACTTTTCTGACTAAACAGAAGACTTTTTGGCCAAATGCAAACTGCAGACCTAACATTACACGTCAGATGTAAACAATCACCTTCTATCCATGCCACAAAATACAGTCCATTACTTCAATGTAACCTCTTCTGTGTCTGGTCTAAGTTAAAAAAAAAAAAAAAGACCCCAAGAAATTACTCACCTAGGCAATGAAATTAAACCTTTTGAGGCACGATGAACCTTACTCTTCCAGTTATTTTCTTTTAACCAAGAAACTTCCTTATTTGACCAGGCTTCCAAAGTACTTTCTTAAATATCAGCTTAGTACAGTGGGTACAACAATAGTGTGTCCAAAAAAGGTTTTTAAAAAAAAGAAACAAACCCAGTAACACTTATTTCAGTAACCTTACCATGAGATATTGCCTTGCAAGACAGACAGACTCAATGGTGCCCTGGAGGTAGACAGTGGATTTCTTTTGTGGATTACTGGGATCGGGAAAGTGAATCTGAGCACCCGTTCTCTGCATGATATGTTTGATGTTGCTCCCATTTCGACCCATCATAAAGAGATGATGCTGAGCTGCAATATCGAGCTGCGTGCTCACGGGAATGGCCGATGCTAAGCTCCCAGCAAGATGTTCTAACAGCATGGCGGTTCCTTCCTATGAGAAAAGGGTGGGAGGGGAAGAGTCCTCTAAAATAACTATTCACAGAGAGAGAAAAGATTCTATCACACTTCTAACAGCTATGGAAGAACATATGGCACATTCTATAAGCCAAAATATAATACGAAGGAAAATTCTGGAAAACAAACTAGTCTAATATCCTTTAAACATAAAACTTGCATGATCTGTATGCATTTATGATGATCAGAATTCTCTGAATCATTTACCTTCACAGCACTAGTGTTATTCTGAGACCCCCGTACTATGACAGTAGCACCATACATTCGGGAACGCTGTTTAAATGACACTGAAATGTTGTACGTTTGTGATATATGCTGAATAGAGGGGGAATTGGGATCAGGAACTGGTTGAAGAATTCCAGCAATTGGTAGCTCAAACATCAGCACCAAAGGAAGCAGCTCCTAAAATGAAATGATGAGAACCCAAAGGAGATAGTTAAAATATTATACATTTAGAGATATGTATAACCCATTGGTTCTTTTGCTGAAAATGGATTTTCAGACATAAATTGCTTTTACTGCGGATGTAAGCTTAGGTGGACTAATATATGTTGTTTATTTTTTTTTTATTTTTTTTTGTTTTTGTTTTTTTTAATGAAAGGAATCTATTGTGAAACCTGAGAGTTTGTAACTCATACTGCCTGTGGCATTTTTCCTCAGGCTTCTTTCTGATCGTTTAAAAACATCAGAGACAGTCATGAAAATCAGAACATCTCTAAGAAACATCGTAGATGGAAAAAAAGTTATAAATAACATAGAAACTCATTTTTTAAATACCTACAATAAAAAAGTACATAATGAATGCTGAAATAGACATTAAACAACTTTTGCCACTATTACCTACTTATTAAACATACGATTTGGTTATAAAATGATAGATTATGATTTTTTAATGCCTTATATGTCGTACAAATGTTGCTGACATCAATGTGAAATATTAAAGTAATAAGAAGTTACCCGAATTCTAACTCGGGCAGATTCTACTCCTGCCGGTTGTCCTGCTATAGATACCTGCAAATGTAAGAAAATACAGAATTAGATTTATTTTAATCTAACTCACATCTGCTTTTCCAGTTAATCTACATCCTTGCTACTCAAAGTGTCGTCCAGGGACAAATAGCAACAGTAATATCTTGGAGCTTGTTAAAAGTGAAGGATCTCAGGCCCCAATCCAGACCTGCTTAATCAGAATTTGCATTTTAATGAGATGCTCAGGTGATTTGTGCCAAGTGATCTATATCATACCTTGGAGTTACCTGAAGCCCTACAGCCCCCACAAGGCCATCCTACCCTCTTTATAATTATTCTTGCTCACTGCATTTTGTCCCTTTTGTTTCAACTCTTTGCATACCATATGCATATCAGTATTCAGTGATATGGCCCCACTAGGTTCTGAAAATATTGAACCTCTTCCATACCAGATGGTGAATAATCATTGCTCTAACACCCACCTGGAGCTTTCTCCTGGGATCTCTTGGACCTTCCCATGATTCATCAACAATAGCATTAGTCTTGGCTTTGGGGTGGGGACACAGGGGGTTCCAGGACACTATTCTTAGGGCCAATGGCCATGCCATACCAGTTGTTAAATATTCCAAATATTGCCCTTGCTTTTACTATGGCTTTCTATCTATTCCCTTGTGCATACACCCCACTGTCACCATTAGTCCCTGTGGAGACTTATTCATCTTTGTGGCTCACAGTGTCTAGTATTATTAGTTTAGAAGAGAGAACATTTCCAAATAACACAAATAAGATCATCTGTTCTTCGAGTACTGAAAGTGCTTATGTGTGGACAGGTGAGTTCCATTTGTTCACAAACAGAAGAACTAGAAAAAATGTAATAAACTAGAGAGAGACATAATTCAATCAATGTAAGAAGTCAAGCATGCACACATTGCCTCTGCCAAGGTGATCTGGTATAGCCTGGAGGACCACTTCTGGGTTTTCGCAGACAGAATCCAGGCAATGGAAAGGTTCCTGGACTTGTCAGGCTTCCAGGTCCTTTCTAACAGAAACGCTTTCTCAGCCTTTCCTTAAGGGCTTCATTTTGTGGCCATCACATTCTGGTTTTTATCAACCATCAAGATCAAGAGTTTAGGGTCCATCTACAGCTCATCTCCTCAAGAAAGCACTGCATCTTCAATCTCCTTGCAGGCAGTCGTACAGTGCATATACTACATGTCATCTGTAGGATTAGTTTTTCGTTCTCACCTCTCAAAAAAAGACATGCACCCTGAAAATGAAGGCTGTAATTCGCCCCATAAAAGTTCACATGAAAAGACAATCACCTGGTTGCTTTTTTCTGCTTGGTTATTCCTGTTGGAATCTGGGAAGTGGATGTGGCATCCAGTTTCTTCCATTACTTTCTTAATATTGTTGCCACCTTTGCCGATTACATGCGAATGTTCTGTATGTGAAACATCCATCTTCAACGTGACCCGATTGCTCTACGTAGAAATGATGTATCGTTACTCGATGCATGAAAAAGGAAACAAGAACTTCCTAAGACGCTTGGCTGCCAAGGGAATCAGAACAGTACTAATAAAAAATTCCTTAACAAGAGCATCTGAATCTACAAGTGTTCAATTTCTATTAATTCATTTCTCTTGATTATAAAAAAGAAATTCTCATTTTAAGACAAATTTGTTAGAAGAAATAGAAAATGTAGTCTTTACCAAGATAATTTTTTGGAAAATAGTCTTTAGATAAAGTCAACTCCAATTACACATAAGTTTTTACTCATGTTCTCTTTAAAAACATTATTCATGAAACGTTTCATTCAAACAACTAAAAATAGATGACAACACAATTACGAGATAAGATACGCACATTAACAGTACTGTAGGACTAAGATGATAGAAAACTAGAAATAAAAATAAAGCTCAAAGCTGCGAATAAGTAAGTATTTACAAATGTTGCTTTAACTTCTATATAGGTATGTTAAATGTTACAAAGTGATCTATTATTCTTGCTGGTAGGAAGAAGAGTGAGGAAGAGATCACAAAGCACAGATGTCTGGCAGTAAAATGGCTTAAGTAAATTAATACTAAGTATATTTACTATATTAAAGCAAAATGTAAAATCCCAAGACAAAGTGAATATTTGGTCATATTGTCATATGGTCATATTGTCATATGGCCAATATGACCATACATGGTCATATTGTAATTCATGTATGTAATTTTGGTATGAAATTTAATGTTGTAAAATTGTAAAGACTGACATGAAATCCTTTCTCATTTATAAAACTGTTACTAAAATTCTTCGGTCCTTAAAAAGTAAAATCAAAAAGCAAAAATACAACAAGATTTTTAAACTATCAATAATTTTAAATTTTCTAAATTCTTACATGTTAAAACACCCATTAAATATTTTCATTTTTAAACTTAGTTCTTTCTTCTCTAAGTTTAACCACTGAAATACAAAAAAAATCCCCCTTTTGAAGAAAATTCTAAAATATTTAATAACTGTAAGGTAAATAATTAAAAAAAATTGTTTTAAAGAACAAAAAGAAAGAAATAAAAAAAGACGAAGAACAAAAGAAAGCAAGCAAGAGAGAGAGAAAGAGAGAGATCAGAGATCATTCTAAGGAAATACCAGGTAGCAAAACAAAGTGGTTAAGAACAAGGCAGCCTATATTTGAATCTCATCTTCTCACTTAACCAGCTCTGGGATCCTGAGCAAATTACTTAGCATTTCTGTGTTGATTTAGTTATGAGGATTAAAAAAATTAATTTTTGTAAAGTGTTTAGCAAAGTGGCTGGTATACAATAAAGTGATTTAGATGTGTTTATTAAGGAAAATAAATTTTCACAAATGAGTATACAATTTTACGTATTTAAATTTGCCTGTTATTTCTCTATACATATACTTGGAGAGAGAGTAAGCATGATTACATCAGAGAAAGCATCAAATTTCATGCCATCACACACACAACACAGAGCTAAACAGAAGATCATTTTGGTTTTCTACTGGTATCATCAAAGCAAATATGCTAATTATTACAATCTTTATTATTTACCCTATACTGCCTAGGGCCAATTTCTATTTCTGAAGATGGTATATATGTACACACATATGTACATATATTACATATATCCACATACACATGTACGTGTGTATATATATATATATATATATATATATATATATATAGTTCAATTACCCAGCATGACGGAACCTATTCAAATACTAAACAGAATGTACATCCACTGTAGAATCGCATGTGCTTATTTTAAAACCCACCATTACTTTCTCCTGGTTTTTCTTCTCCAAATGGTTCTTTCATAACGGCATGAAGTAGCCCTTGTAGAGACAAGGTTCTGACATCTGAGTGTCCTTAACATTCACTTACTTTTGTGTCTAAGACCGACATGATCATTTCCTTGGCTTCTTTAACATCTTCCTTCTTTCCAGAAACCTTAATATGGGGATCTACAAAAAAATCAGAAACAAAAGGCTCATGTGAAACCCCCAAACTGTTTTATAATTGAATTAAAACCTAAGAGATTCCAAAATAAATTCAATATTTGTTTTATTCTAGGTATGCTATGACTGTAATAAAAACAGGAATACAGAAAATACCCAAATTGCACATTATCTGTGGTTTTCTTCCTTCTACAAATTTGCTAAACCATTTCACTTTAAATTTTTTTTTGGGGGGGGAATAAGAATTTCATATGATAATTGCAAAATAAATATATCACAATTATTTTTGAACAAGTGAGGAGTCTATAAACTGAGCTTACTAATTTAGCTCGTTACATTCCAGGCCCTGTTCTAAAGGTTTAAATGCATTAACTCATTTAATCCACACAGTGCTGTTTTGTGAGGTTGTTTACAGAAGAAACTAAGGCACTGAGCGGTCTGGTAACTTCCCAGAAAACCACTCAGAAGCTTGGTCATTATAAACCAATATCTTCCTACTATGGAGTCACACTTTATGTAATAACTTAGAAAATATCCTTATAGATCAGGGTTAAAAGGAAAAAAATTTTAATTTTCATTCAGAAATATTTAATACTTATCCAGAGTTAGTATTGAGTGACGCAAATACATGCTGTCTATTGTTTATTACTGCCACTGAATTTTACATAGCAAAGCATTAATTCTTTGACAAATATTTTTTGTACTTCTACTATGCACAGGCACTGTTCCAGGGGCTGGGGGATAGATCAATGAAGGAAAAAGACCCCTGGCCACATAAGGTTTGCAGTCTTGTGCAGGGGGCCAAAAAAAAAAAAAAAAGAATCAAATTATTTAATATATTAGAACATAAATGTTATGGAAAACAGAAAAAGGAGAGCACAACAAAAGGATGATAAGTACCAGCTATGAGAAAGTGGGGAGGGGCCGTAGGCTTCATTAAGAAAGTGAGAATTGAGTGAAGGCTTAGAGGAAGTGAGACACTTGGCTGAGCTGGAATCTTCCAGGTAGAGGGAGAGACATCAGAGCCAAAGGGCTAGGGACGTGCCCTCTTCAGTTCCTTCTTTAATCAAGTTTTTAAGTCACTCCAGCAATCTAAGTGTTCTATTTCCTTAGAGGTCAGCCTGACATAGAGCAAGACCATTCTGGGATAAGCCCAAAGTCCTATATACATTAGCTTTACTGACAAAGCTAAATAACACAGAGAAAATTTATTATGATTATCACAACCATCAATAATCCCAACCTTACTGAGTGCCTACCACATACTGACTTCTCAGCTGAGTCCTTTATCTCCTGTACTATGCATCGAGTCAGTAGACGGAGCCAGCAAATATTTACTGAGCACCTTTCACAATTAACTAGTACTTCTGCCTGAATCATTCAACTTTTCTAAAGCATGTATTCTCTAGGATAAGGAATCGGAATCACAAGGTGGGAACTGTATCTAAACCACACATATGAGGGCTGTCCAGAAAGTATCCAGCCACTGTTAATGAGAATACAGGACATAGCTGATACTTTCTGGACAGACCTCATACTTCCCAATATTGTGATCTCCCCCATTCCCGATCTGCAGCTCAGGTGAATATCAATGTCACACTGAGAACATCATATTCTAAAGGTGCAACTGGGCAATTCCTTCCCCACCACCAAAGAAAAGAGAAGGAAGAAAAGAAAGAACTAAACCATTTTGTTAAAGCTACCCACTGTTAGGACTAAGGTGGTGAAATCATAGTTTACAACGGTGCACCACAGAGCTTCAGAGTTCAGGCTGCCTCTGGCCCCCTGGGGAACACCCAGCAGCTGTGCTTATTTGAGTCAGCCCTGTCACTTCCACTCCTGCCCTGTGCTGGCTGCTCTTGGCCTCAGGCACATCTTCTTATCCTGTTTTTTAATCCCTCCTCCAACACCTAACCTGTCACAGGGACATTGGGAAGACCAAAGGCCTTAAGATTGGTTCAAACTTTCTAAAATGTTTTAAGTGTCAGCTATTATAAAATGAGGGCCTAAGTGCAGGGCACAGGGGATGTCTGACCCTCACAAGTTGAGAGAGAACCCAGTGGTCCGGTATCTCTTTTTCCCATTGTTTATTCCCTAATGAGGACCAGGACCACCTTGTCTCTGTGATACTCTAGCCAACTCCCACCACACTTATGTAAACAGAGCATTTTCTTCAGTAATTCTTACTATGTCCATTATATCTCTTCTAAGCAACATTTACACAAAGAGCTGTGTACCTTCAAAATTTCAGTGTCAACTATCCTTAACTCTGGTTTGGGTTGCTGTTGGCTGGCACTGATGTTGACCTGAACTGAAAATGCTCACTACTACTGTGGGTGACCAGATCCAGTGTTTCTCAAAATACACCTGCTAAACTACAGGTTCCCGGGCCTTGAGGACCTGGTAATGGGCCTTGTATTGGTTTTCCAAGTGATTCTTAAATCAACTATAGGCAACAGCAGATTAAACCACACAAATATTTTAATTGTAGTTGCTTATCTATTTGCCAATTACATATGATACAAAATGCTTTTATACAATAAAAATGTATTTTTCTCACAACATAAATTAACAGTAAGTATTGAGCAGCATGATAATCTGCAAACCTATTACTTTAGGCTGGATAGCCACATTAAAATTCCTATGCATTTGTAGCGGGACAGGGCACTTCAGATCCAATTTAACAAAGAATCTGATTTTCCACCATATTTGCATCAACCTCACAAGAAGCAAAACAAAAAGCAGAAGCCTCAATAGAAAAATCTTTAAAGGGAAAGGGCACCATCTAGTGACTAAAACTATAAATTATCAACTATAGCCACCACTACATAACATCTGTCTCTAGGACCTGAATTAGTGTTTTGAAAAGTGGGTTTTTAAATAGTCCAGTTTAATAAAGAGAAACAAACATGACATAATTCTGGTTTAGACTGCTAACGTGGATAATAGCATTGTACTTCTCATCCCCTCTTTTACGCTTGCTTAGAAGATACACACAAGATGTGGGCTCTTACTCCAAGTTGAACTTAACTTACTCATTCCAATTCCTGGAATACAGTTCTCTGCTTTCAATGACTGTTATAGTTTACAACTCAAATGAGTCTGTATAATACCCGAAGAAACTAAGCTTTCATTCATATTCATTCAGGAAATGCTCGACAGAGAAAATAAAAGTCAAAGCATCAAACCACACTATTAAACAAAAAAGTGAGGAAAGGGTCCACTATAAAGAGTGTTAGAAGATGGTAGAGAAATAGGGAATAAACATATAGCTTTCCCTCTCTCAAAATTAATTGCTTTGAGGAACAATTCCAATTTAGGCATGAAGGTTTTGAGACATTTACTCTGAAAACAATGTTCCTTACTTTATAACCAACCTTCAGGTTCCCCGAACACAAGAATCTCTTTTTACTTGGTTTTGTAACTGACATAGTACCAAATAAATGGTAGATACGCAGTAGACTGTGGCTGCATGGCTCCATATTTTAGGAAATGGCTAAATACAGAGGGAGGAGATGGAATTCAATAAGAAGAGTCTAAACCTTACATCCAAGGTGACCCTACATCCTGCACTTCCCCAAATAGTTATAACTCCAATATTCTGATCTTCATGCCTCTATAAAAATGCAGAAAACTGTCATATATTCATCCAGGCTTTTTGTTTTGAGATTCCTATCCCATCCATCTGCTCACATCTCTCTGGTGTCATCCTATGGAAGAGAAGATGACCAGATGGTAATCCAACCTTCACTAAGTGATACGAAGATGCAACAGACATGCATGTGAATGGGGGATTTTATTTATCCTTTATAAGTTTTATTTCAAAATATTAGGAAGTACAAGTGTTCTTGTTACATGGATGGTTTGTGTAATGCCAAAGTCAGGGCTTTTAGTGTGCCCGTCACCAGGATAGTGTACACTGTACCTGATAGGTAAGTCGTTATGTCTCACTCCCTTCCCACCCTCCCCCACTCTTCATCTCCAATGTCCTTTATACCACTTTATGACCATGTGTGTGAAAGGGGTATTTTATATGTGCATGCTGCAAAACAGTAAGGAAAATGTGTCCTTTTTTTAAAATGCTAAACCTTTCATAAAGTCTTGATAAGGCAATTATTTTCATATGAACATCTGCTAAAAAACATACTTTCAATAAAAATAAACATTTAAAAGAGTTGGAATGTTTTTATGAACTTAAATGTAGTTATGGTTTTAAAAGATTATCTCTTGGTGCTCTGGTTTCTACTCTTTGGTTTCCTATCCTTGGGAACATTCCCAACCCTGGAAACATTAGTGAATATTTTACTGCCTCTTCCCTCTCTCCTCAAGCCTCAATCTCCTTCCCCCTTCATTCCTATCCCACAGAAAAACCTACAGAAAATACATCAGCCATTTGTTTTTATTATGCTACAGAAAGTAGCGTGCTATTGACTCAGGATGAATTTAAGCCGACCTTTCACCAACAATCTGTTGGTAGCTGCTTTCCTGCTTCCATGGTTGAGTACCGCTGAGTGAAAGAGTCGACCCCCAAAATTCACAGTAAGTCTTTCATTTTCAGCATGTTCTTTTAGAAAAAGAAAACAACAGAAAATCCCCCGTTTGACTAGCTCCTTGCCTCCCACTGACAACACCTCAAAATAAAAGTCATCATATTAGAGTTGCACTTTTGTTTATGGGGAAAAGTTTCATACCGTGGCTTGAAATCAGGACAGCTCTGGCACATTCTACGCATACAAACAAAATTGTCAAGCTGATCTTAAAGCCATAAAGAAGAGACCACTGGACAGAATTTACTTTTCACTTTTGTTTCAAGTGTAATTTCTTCCTAAAGAGCTTTAGCCTCTGAAACAATATAATCCAGAGGGACATTAGCTAGGGTTTGGTTCTGTCAGGAGTGGTCAGTGGACAAACAGGGGAGCAGCTCCAACTTCCCCTGAAATTCCTGCAACCCCTGGGAATGTATCAACAGCCAGCAAGCAGTTCCAAAGTAGCAATGGCCAAATTTT